CATTCCAACTCAGTGCAATTTAATTTTCCTTTATGCACTTCCATGTAGTAATAAAGTGAACCTTGCCATCTTCGAATCTGTAACTAAGTCACTATTTTGATCAATTTTGTCTAATATAAGCACTTTGTTAATCATTGATGATTGAGTGCTATTAAAAATACTATAATTAAATTCTGCGATTTGCTACAAGTAAATTCTAAACTGCTACTAAATCAAACTGTGTAAAGTCACTCATTCATAATAAATTGACATAATCAGCAGGATTCACAAGCCTGCATTTGTGACAAATTGCAAAATACTTTATTCAAAGATGGAAAACAATCCAGCACTGGAAAGATTTTAAATACTAGTTTTAACAAGATACAAACCTATGATGTTTCTGTACCTATGTTAGGAATCATTTTTGTGAAGAAACTCCACAGATACAGATACACATGAGGAGAACATGGCCCTCGGGTAGAGCAAAGTTCTGAGACTCATGAAGAAATGGAACAGGCCTCACTTTTAAGAAGGTCAGGGTTTCACTCCCACAGCATTTTCAATCACATTAAACAAACAAAAAAGTTATTTACTCTGATGTTAGAGATCAAGAAGAGCAAACTATTACTGCATACTTTTATATACCTATCCCCTCTCCCCCAAATACTCAGTCTCTCACGTACCTTCTGAAGAGAAATTTTCAAATTGTTTTCTTTTATTCAGGATAAACAACTTTACAACACACTCAGCCCTGCAGAGCAACAGTCACAAGACATCTGCCAGAAGAGCACCAACAGCATTCATTTGTTTGGAGGAGTCACCTGAGCACCATTTTTGAGTTTCATCTAAATTAATAAGCCTCTAGAAGTCCATTTCTGCAGATAGACTTGAAGCCAACAAGACAAGAAAACTAGAAGACATTAGTTGTTGTGTTTTCCCCTAGTAATTAGAGTTTCAGATTTACAGAAGCGAGGCAGATCTGCTCTCCAGCCGAGAGCCACCTCCCCCAGCAGAGCCCAAAGAGCTAATTCAACAAAGTTGTACGAGCACAAAGGTTTCCAACACCACCAGCATTTTTATTTATTTCTTTGCTGCTTTTGCCACCCAGAAGTCAGCTTTTACAGAATAAAAGATTACCTTTTCACATCTTCCTTCACAGCCACAAGGGAAACATTAAAGACCTCTACCAGAACCATTAAGGCTACGTGCCTCCTGTTACTTATTTTATAGCCCACAGACCCCACACCAACTGGCCATTCCTCTCTTCTAAAATAAGGGGCTACTTCAGGAGAACAAGACTCACTACACACTCATGCTACCCCCTCCATGCTGCTTTTATCCCCCAAATACCCACCCAGCCCAGCACCCACACCACCTCCACCCCAGAAACAGGCTTCAGCTGGTGCAAATTAACTTTTTAGCTGGAGGGAGGGGAGAAGGCCTCTCCTTCAGGCTTTCTCTCAGAGAGGCAGGAGGAGCATGGCAGCAGCACAGGTGGTTTCTCCTGCTCTATCCCCATGTTTGTGAAGGAGCAAAGTCTCTCTGCTCAGGCCTTCATGCCCATTGCTGCCCCAGCAGTCACCTGGCTGACGTGGCTCTCCAAAAGACTACCCAGTATCTGCTGGATAGGCAGCTTTTTTGTTTCTCTTGGGCTTCTAAACCAGTCGGGGGTTTTTTGTTTTTTTTCTTTTTTCTTTTCCTTTTAGATCCCTGGGAAACACTGTTCTCCAAAATATCACAAGAAATCTCGGTTGAACTCAGTGAAGGATCCAGTCAGTTTTGTCTCTGAACAGTGCACGGTGTGCTGCCGCAACAGGAACAACTATAACACCAGGGCATGTCACGGCAGTGCTGCTTTTAGAAAGCAAGTTTCCCTCCAGCAACTTGTTTTATGTGCTGGATGCAGGATTTAAGTTTTGCCGCTATGAGAACTTACATAAAGGCTCCAGTATTTCATTAGCTCCAAGTGCACATATGCCTTCAAGGGTAATAAAGACACAAATAAGGTTGTGATAGTAAAATGCGTGTATTCTAAGGAGCATAATTTCAGTGCTGTATACCCTTTGTATTACACCTATATATAATCAAGGAAAAGACAACTTCTTAGCAAAAAGAAAGTAAAGTTGTTTTAGGAATCGGATATTGTTACAATCCTAGTGCCTCCTGCATGGGAGTGCCAGATGAAACCCACAGCTCGTTGAGCTCCCTTTGGTTTCCAAAGATGTGGAAGTACAAATAAGGCAAAAGCTTTTTCCAGCCGAGCTGCTTTGTGCAAACACAGTGTAAGGTAAATACATAGTAAGGGCCCAAGTTGCTTTGAACTACCAACAGGCAGGCTAAGCATCCGTGAAGGAATTTAACATGGAGGCAGGGATAAAAGTAGCTTCCCCCATCAAGCCATAGGCAGTTTGGATCTTTCCCCTTGTTCCTCTCAGCAAATGTTTACAAAATCAGAAGGACAGACTTAACACAACGTTTATTATTTTACTCCTGAAGTAGAAGCAGCAGCAGTGTTTGATTACGGTTACTGGATACACTACAGTCTGCTTTCTACGTTCACTGCCAGTATTAACTTGCTCTTCAACCAAGAGTCGAAAGTTTGGCTCTCGAATGCTTTTCAGAGTAACCGCCTTGTGCTGCTGGAAGCAATGAGTGCTTTGCCATTAGCTCAAGTGGCAAGAGGAGGGACCACACCGTAGCGAAGGGCAGCGTGGTAGCTGGCCTAATTCCTGCTCTAATTCTGTTCCTCATGTTGGTGCTTGGCACTTCACAGCGAATACCATCTTGCTTGAGAGCAAAGAAACAGCTCTTTCTAGTAATTCCTACCCTCTAGGATGGCATCTGCCAGCTGGTACTAAGGGAGGCTGAATTTCACCTTTGCAAATGCCAAAGCTTGAATTTTAGGCACTTGGGTTTAGGCACTTGGCGCTGCTCAATGCCTTGTAAACAGCACTTTTCTTCCCTGCTCCTCAGTCCATGGTTTTCCAAAGGATGCACTCCTCCCAAACTCTGTCCTTCCTCACTATTTAGAAGATGTCTTTGAACAAGGAACACGTCCCTACTAAATGGGTAAGGACTGCACATATTACAGTGAGATCGTAACGACTTATCTGGCCCTAAGTACTGAAGGGTGATCATCACTACATAACAACTAGATTATAACAAAACGCCTACACTTACTCAAAACACAGTCTACTCATTGCAGTGAATCCTGAGAAACAGTTTAGGAAAAAGCTGTGGGAAGGAAATGTGCAGAAATTTACCCTTCTTTTTTCCTGTTTTTTCAGAACAAACAGCCTATCTGACACTTAAGTGTCAGAAATGTGTTGTTACACTTTGATGAGCAACAGTTTTCCTATTTTTGTTTTGAATAAAATGACATAGTTGAATTTTGCATTTCTGAGGATGAAAGTGAACTGTGATGGAATCAGAAAAAGATGTATATTTTCAAAAACCCATATGCAGGTCTTCCTTGATGTAGTATTAGATCATTAGTTCTAGTGATAGCAGCAAACCCTAAAATTAACCATGTGCACTGCTGAAAAAGAAACTAGTAAACACCGTGTGTTGAATCACATGATAGTAAACTGCTTTAACAAAGATACCAAAATCAATTGTAACAAAATAAGACTTCCTGTTGTTTATTAGATATTGTAAGAATGACATGTACAGTATACAAAATTAACATTAAAAATGTTCACGATTGATTTTAACAACACATTTTTCTTTGGATTAACTGCAGACAAGCAGCTTTCTTAAGAAGTTATGCTGAGATCTATTTTCTATTATATGATCTCAAGCACATCACTATGTGCTATCTACAATTTTAATCTACAAAATGAAAGCTACTGAATTTTTGCTGAATCTTGGTGGCATTTGTTGGAAAAGAATAGAACAGCAACATCAGCTTAGAGGAGAAAAAAATATTAGTTCATTACAACAAAATGTTAATTGTTCAAGTTCATAAGCAAAATAGCTTTTGACATTTCAAACCTTACAATTGTACATTTTCAACATCAAACACTTGCCATAAGAAGTTACATTCTACTATACTGGTGACACAGATTTTCAGCTTTTTTTTTCTTTTAGATGGATACATAATCCTGGTTTTCTTTTTCCTAATTAATTTTCACATCTTTAAAATTAGTGTCAAACAAAGTTTATTCTCCTAAAGAAACAGTTTAAATATGGTGCATTTTGTAAGCTGAATGTTTTCATTTAAGGTATATCTATATAAAGGAATGTAAAATAGTTTTCATTTGTTAAATCTGCGTATTTTCAGTTTATGTCATATTGTTTAGCAGAAAGTTAAAATAACTACCAATGAGTAATCTAGATAGCCTAAAACCAGTCTATCTGTTCCATACATTACATGTTTGCCATAATGCCTTTCACTACAATATAAAATACACTAGAAAAACTAAAATTATTACCAGGGAATATTACATACAGGTATCAGTATTGACAATGTTTCCCTGATAAAACAAAAAATCTTTACTTGAATTTCTCATACGTGCTCTACTTTGCAATAAGAATATGATTTAAACTGAAAATTCTTCTCATAGCATCCAAACAATTTTTCTTAGTAGACACTGAACGTATTTGCACAATTGCAATACACTCAAAATAATGAACTGCTGCCAGATAAGCCGGTAAATGATTGACAACAGGAATGGGTGCCTGACAAAAAGTGGCCAGCCTTCCAGAACAAAATAGATGGTGTTCTTTCTCTTGAGGTGTCGCTAATGTAAATCACTTCACCTTTTAAGTTGGCACATATCACAAGAACTCTTAAAGCAATCTCTGTGAAATGAACATGAAGACAAATGGCAATACAAATGATGCAAAGCCATTCTTCAGAAATTTAGAAGAGCCCAAAAATATTTCTGTTCTTTTATCTTTTAGCATTGAACTGGTAAAATTCAGTGCATTGTGTATTGTATTTTTAATAGAGAAACTATTCAAATTATCTTATGCTGGGAAGAGCTGGGCTTGCTGTTTTCTTTCCTTTCATGTTTTTTTTAAGACCATTGGCAAGAACAATCTGTAGGCTCTTGGATTGAATAGCTGACCCAGGTTGAATTACTAGTGCAATACAATTGCACAGTTCGTCTCTGTATTCCGAGCTCCCTGCAGCATTTGCAGAATCTTGCATATGTGTTGATGTTGTAGTTGTAAATGCTTGCAGACGGGCACTTTCCATCACATGAAACAATGTTCACCTGGTAACAAACGTGAAGAATAATCAGCAAAGTGAAGCAGCTAGGAAATAAAGTTAGGAGTTCTCAAGAAAATCCAAAGATATTAGGCACCCAAATCCAATGGCAAAGCAATGAAAAATGTGGAGGTATGTCCTCTAGCCCCCCGTGAAATCCCACTATGTCTGAGTAATAAACTCTGAAGTACATTGCCCAGACAGATCTCAATTTTTATCTTACAGAGATTAATGATGACTTTCCTGTCAATTTCAGTAACAGCAGATTTTGGCTTTTAACAGACACAAAGAAACAATTGCAGTTTTGAATTTTAAAGTATTCATAACAACTTTGGCTTGAACATAGCACCAAATGTTCTGTCCACAACTCCCTACAGTATTAATTTCAGTGATACACTGATGCAGTGTTGCTATACTGGTATCAGTAAGGAGGAATATAAGGAATCAATCCTTTGGAAAGCCAAGGGGGATAATTACTAATGATACCAAAACTGTAATACAGACTGTAACAGGAAGAGTCATATAAACTGGTAATTTTTTGAAGTTTAATAGTCACGATTTGCGTTTCTGTTCGATGAGACACTGAGACTAAATTTCCTGGCTGCTCAACAGTTTACTCTACAAAACATACTCTCACAGTCATTTTAGAGGTTACAGCTGTTTCCCTATACTCTTTTATTACAGCTTTTCCAAGCACTCTTACACATCTCACATGAGACGCCTGTCTGCACCCTTGCTGCTGCTCACACTGCCTTACTGCCCAGCAGGACACTGTTGGTGTCCTCCCACAGTAAATCCTTCAGTAGACACACAGATAGTGCCTCATTCTTCCTACGCATTTCACAGTACGCTCATACTGCTGTCTAAAAAAAAATGTCAGGACCCAAGATTCCTTTCTTCATGAAGTTGGCGTTTAAATACTTTCCCTAGACAGACAGAAAATTAAACACATCTGCAGCTGTTTTAACTGTAGTATATCACGGGCAAGATTCACTTATATCAAAGTTAATTTGCATATAATATTGCATTATAGGGTGACCTGAGACCTTGGATTTGTACTAAATCAACATGCGCCTAAATGCACACAAAAGCAGAAGTCACATCCCCCTTTTTCTTATTGAGAAGATGGTTGCTGTGAATGTAGAGAAACACTAAAACAGCTCTATGAAACACAGAAACCTCTGTCTCTGTGAGAGAGAGAAGCAGACAATAGCCTTGGGAATTTGCATTCCCTTTCTTCCTTCTTTTTATTTCTTGTCTTTTTTCCCTTCTATTAAAAGAAATCATGATCGTTATTTACTTACCGGTGTGTTACTCCTGCAGTCATTCTTGCGGATAGTCATCCTAACAGTCACCTTTTTACAGAATTTTCCATCTTCCTTACCTGCAAAATGGACATTGATTGAAAAATATCAGCTTAAAACTCTAAACATTTCAGAGAAAAGAACATTCCTGAATGTTTTATGGGATTACGAGACACAAAGAAGAAAATACCCAATGCATCACTGCACATACAAAACTTTGGCAAAGTGACATTAGCTATACATTGTATTGCTTTTAAAACGATTCTATTTCATGCATGGAAGTAGCTGTCTCCTTGTATCTCCAATAACAATTATAAAAGGTTCATTCTTCACTCAGAAGCCTTTTAAGAGTAAGTCCACTGTCTTTCAAAAAATTTTGTAAGCTTGATCAACCACTCCTGCGCGAAGGGTTGTTAATAATGCGTAACATGCATTTTCTAAGAAATAACTGTAACAAACTTTAATAGCAGCAATTGCATTCCAGTGGCATAAATGAAGTTTAAAATGAACACTTAACAGCAGAATCTGATGAAGAATAAGGCTTTAGGGGGCTTTACATTTCTGTATGTTTTTTATCAAATAAGAAAAAGAACACCAGTGAACAAATTAAATTTTTTATTTACATTTTCAGTAGCATTATTCCGACAATTTTTCTCACAGAAGTATGTACAAAGTATATGGATGAAATAAAAAAGATAAAAAGAAATTATGAAATGAAATAAGAGCAGTTAATTTAAGAAGCGAATCCTGAATATTTGAAGAAAAGCAAAGTTGTTCAGTATAAAGTTCAGTTGTTAGAGATCAGAAAGCACAGTATCTTCTTACGATGATCCTCCCTGTGCTGAAGAAACCACATCACATTGCAGATCTGTAAGAGAAATGAATAGTCCATTCCATTATAACAGATTCCAGTTTCACAGCCGATTTTACACCCTATGATGCAGTCCCACATGACTCTTCACTTAGAGAGCTGTATTTTCTTTCAGCCAAGAAATTCAAAGTTGTTGGCAAAAGGTGAATAGTTAGCTCCAGAAAAGAAGGGCAATGAAAGACTCACTGGTTTGATGAATACCCAATACTGAACTGTGACAGAGCTTTATTACATCTTGATGTGCAATGTCCAGTTCCCTGCTCTAATCACTGTCAAACCAGGTAATACTGCTTCTCAAAAAGAAACATTTTTTGTGATGTGTGTGTTTGGTTGGTTGGTTTTTTTAACATATAAGCCTGCTGCTGTTTCTAGACATAGCAGAGGTTTCTAGAATATGAAAGAAAGATCAGCAATGAATCTTCTTGGAGTCAAATAAAAATCTACCATCAGAAATGGCTGGCTACTGCTTGACTATCATTGAACTATATTTGCTTAGGCAAAAAGTAAATTAAGAAATTAAAAAAGAATTGTTTTTAAAAATAAAAAACTCACCATTATTTTGTGTTTCTCATAGTCCTATTCATGTCCTTTCTTCTTTTACATTTTACATGGTGCATAGGATGGGGAATTCAGTGCAGCTGTGGCTATGACTTCATCCAGGCTATAGTGAAAGTGCATCATATCTCATAAAGAAATAAATACATAATGTATTTCCATGCATGTACTTTAATGTCCAGTGGCTTTTAATGAGCTCTGTGACATAGTATATTTTTCCACAACCAACCTTACAAAACATGTGAGCATCTTGCGTGTTATAATGTGTTATAATGAGATTCTTTTTCACAGTCTGTATGGCCAAAAATCCTTGTTTGGTTTTTGGGTAGACTTATAACACCTTTGTCATTTAAAGTGATGTCAATATGAAATACAGATTTCAGCGTAGTACTCCTAGAGTCATGAGTGTAATTTAATGAAGGATGTATCACTCAGTGATGTACAAAATTACAGTCAACATCATTTCTTTTACAGAAATAGAGATGTTTTCACAAAATAAATGCCAAAACAATTGCATTCATACCATGTTACAATTTAAAAAAATTATCATGCTCTATTAAAAAGAACAAAGATAATCTCCAATTTTCATGGAGTAAACACAGGCTTGCTATTTTCAGTATACTGCCCTATATACAGATGGGAAAGAAATGACCTGCTTCTACTGTATACGCCACTGGAAGCAAACCTATACGATACGTCATCTGTGAAAATGTTGTTTATATATTGTAAGCTTTAACAAGCAAAGCCATTAGTCTCTATGTTCTACAGCACTGTGAACATAATGGAATTAGCTTACATTTTTAAACACCGCAATTTTACACATGCAGCAAGCTAAAGACTACACAAGTGCTTACTACCAACAGTACATTGTTGGCTAACAACAATGCGCTGCCCACACAGTGCAAAATGAAAACCAAAACAAAACCAAAATGTGAGCCACTCTGAACCACAAGCTGTTATACTACACTGTAGCTTTTGGCATAATTGGCTAACATGAGGCCTGATGCTCCTATCAGGGAGTACATTGTTGGAAATCAACAATGATGCTGTTTGAGTTGGTCCTACTTATATCCAGAAAATGTACCTGTGTTACAGCTAGCATAGGCTGTAGGAGTGACTGGGCTAACAGGGAATGGGAGGAGCATTGACACTGAAGAACCTGGTAAGAATATTACATATTGAACAGAGTACATGTTACAGAGGATTCCCTACCAGTATGAAACATTTTGGACTCATTAGATTTCGGCATATTTGAGAAAATAATTCAACATTAAAATTTCTGGATATTACAGTATCACAGAATGGCTGAGGTTGGAAGGGACCTCTGGAGGTCATCTGGTCCTACCTCCCTGCTCAAGCAGGGATCACTGTGCCAGCAGCTCAGGACCATGTCCAGGTATTACTTGCATTGCTAAGCCTACTGTAAAAACGAGGAGGGATCTGATCTACATTGTTATAACTAAAACAATCTGGTACCCTAAATTTAAGTTGTCCTCTGGGGCTACAAGAAAGAAAGAGTGTAATTTCCTCTGAGCAGTGTTTGTAAAAACTCTCTAGGTTTTGATGGAACTCCTGGGGCTTAATTTTCAAGTACCACTTGAAACTGAAAGCAAAAATCACAATGGTTTCTAATGGTAAAGTACTTCAAAAAAAACCAACCACCTGATAGCCCTTCTCATAAAACATCTCACACAGTTACAACTGAGTAACAGCTCTCATGCCAGATTTGTTCAGAGTCAGAATGGACTACATGATTCATAGAGGTACTATGTTGTCTATAAACAGGTGTGAAATCCAAACTGTATGAATCTACTTCTAAATGCATCTCAGAAGTCACTGGATTTTTCAAAGGTTTAATTTTACTTTGTGATGCATGCCCCAGATTAATAACTTACTTTTCTCTTAATTATTTACGAGTGTGGCTATGATCTTTCTCTAAGTACAGTAGCAAGATCTTCTGCCTTGCTGAAAAGTAGCTTAATGGATTTTTAACGGTCTTAAGTTGTTTGTTCAGAAGCTGGCTTATATACCTGCTAAGGCATTGAAGGGTAATGTCAGATAATCAAAAACTAATCTCAAAGAGCCTATGGAGAATCAGCTACAGAACTAGGACAAGTGCTTGAAACACAGGTCCATCAGAGTGAAAAAACATGAAGAGATGTTACCATTCCCTTACAGTGATCAGGAGCAGGAAAAAAAGCAGATGAATCTTGCATACTTTCAACAACTTTTGTACTACAAAATGTAATACATAATGAATAACATCTAAAGGTACCTCCCAGTTGGCAACATATATCCCACTGCAGTAACTGTGCATGTGGTACCATATCTGGTAGTCATGATTGTTCAAATCCCATCCCACCCAGCACAAAATATCTGCACTTTTCTCCAGCTCTCTCCCACACTTTATCTCCTACTGTCTTTAGCTTTTAAGGTCAGTATTCCAGCCACTTATGCAAATGAAACGAGATTTTTGCACCTTTTTAAAGATAATATGATACTGCCCAGTATAAAATCTCCTTTTCAATTGCTTATAACATTGTCAACTTCAAGTATTAGAGCTTAAATTCTTCAGGTTATGTGTCTGTCTCAGGCTAAGTTCTTCATGAAATCAGCCAAAATGTTTCAGCTATGTATCAGTGTGTTAAGAAAAAATGTACTTAGCTTTTGATTTATATTAAGAATTAGCATATTTGGAACCTATTCTGTAGAGAACCATTTTATTTTTTCCAGAGAACTTTTATTAGCTCTCATAGAAGTCAAAACATAACTTGGTAATCAAGCAGTGGGGAAAAGAAAAGATAACACCTGAAGCTTCTGAACTATGTCTATTAATGGAACCTAAGACTACATTACAATCAGTTAATTATTTACAGCATTAACTTACAAGCTGCATAGATCAATCTTCATTTTTACCAAATATGAAGATATGAATGTAGATGAAGCATGTTTTAAGATGTCTTCTGAAACACACTACCTTTTATTATACTAAATGCAGTAACTAATATTTTGAGGAGTCTTACATAAGAACTACAAAATACTCAAGGTAGCAATTTTAGTGACTTGGCCAGCCACAATCACTCAGTGGAGTAAACCCTTCAATGTTAAACTACTTTCTTCTGATTTAACTCGACTAGTTTCACTGGTATTCACGTGAGTAAAACTGGGAAGAGCACAGCCTTTAGAGATCAGTGTATCAAGCTTTTATGCAGGAAAGAATCAACCTTATTTCTATGGTAACAACAAATCAGACAGACTTGTGAGGCAGGAAGTGTCATTAACCACTTACATGTTTTGCAGCATCCTTCTAAGAATGGTACAACATAGCCTCCAACCTGACCAAGAGAGAAATAAAGAGGAAAAAACTTGATCTTTTCCAAACATTCATTCCCATATATCTGCACTATTAGAAATACCTTCCAGATAAAGCTCTACAATGTTATTCAGGCAAATGCAGAACTCTGGTGAATGGATGAAGGTTTGTCTGTCAATGATCGAACTTGACTGTTTTAACACAAGTGAGTATTAAGTGGTTGTCACTCAGTGCCACTATACATCACCAGCTATCAAAATGCCACATTTGGAGAAGGAATGACTGTGTTAAGTCTTACTCCATCATGTGTTACTTAAACACCTGACTTCTTGTAGAGGCCATATTGACAATCACAAAAAACCGATTCTGAATTCAAAGCAGAAAGAAATCTCATCTAAATTAGAAGCCAGCCGCTCCCCATATTGGAGAGTCATGGCTGTCTTCAGTGCTGTAGCATGAAGCGCTCCCCAGAGTCCTGTGGGAAGGATAGGTACAGCTTTTAAAAAGCTCTCTCAGGATTACATTGAAGGAGAGTTCAATTGTTGATGTCCTCCTCAGTATCTCAAGCCATGATGATCTATCTCTCTGCCTTAACTTTTTTAGTTCGCCTAGAACAGCAGAAGGCCTTTCACCAGCTGTGGAACTGAGATTCTCTCTGAAGAACCAACCCATTGTTATCCATGAGGAAGAACTACAGCCACCTAGTTCCTTTAGGACTGTTCCCTACTTATGTACCATCATGCATTAAGGAACGTATCCTCCCATCCACATGTAAATGTAGAATTACAGAGAGCAATTATGAGATTGCTCCCTGCATACATTTCCTGGCACTTAGTCTAATCTCATTTTGCAAATTCAAATAGAGCTTTTATTTCTTGCTTCTCCTGCAAAACTAGTCCACAAAACTTTATATCTCACTGTAGAAAAGGTTTTCCTAATATTCAGACAATCTTTCCTTTTCTTCAGTGTTTTTGACCACTGCAATGAATAAAATTGCTACATGCAGAAAATCAGTTAGAAAGGAGAATTCCAACCCAGAAAAGCATCCAAGTTCAGACAGCTGTATGAGGACTAGTTTGATATTACAAGCCTCTATTAAAAAAAAAGTATTTCTGAGAATAAGAAGAGTTCTCTCCAGCTGTGCAAGTGGGCAGTCTGGTGGCATGCTGTATGTGTATAGTTAGAGCTTTTCACCTTCAAATGTCTGGGCAAAAATGCACGCATTTCAAGAATTTAAAATTTCTCCCTTCTTGAGGTAAAAACATCTTTTGTCAGTGTTAATCTTTTCATGCAAACATAAATCATAGCTGGACTACGAACAATGTATTGAACACTGACCTTCACACATTCAGTTTCATTAAAGGGTGGGCAGCCAACTGAAGAGGAAACCAGAACTGGCCCTATTGCTGTGTTAGTGCATTCGTATCTGATGCAGTTTGAAATCCAAACAGTACCAGGCTGTTAAAAATTGTAAAACAGAATCTTTACTCAGCAACTCAGCAAAAACAGTATTATAAGCATTTATTATACAATTCCATTGAATGTGATCTTGTCTGAATTATAATTAATACTTATAGCAAAATATAATTTAGACGCATGTTAAAGTTGTTTAAGTACAGAACTTAAAAGTCTACTAAATATATAATCTTAAGCAGGTTCTAAGATAGCCAAGTCGATGATAATTCTGATACATTAAAATCCCTTAATCTCTGTAGACAGCTACATGATTGACTCTCCAAGAAATTAATGTTGCATACATGCAAAACTATTCCTAGTATTTGGCCAAATAAAGCTGCTCTTTGCACATTTTATATGGTAATATGTGTACAGTATCTCATAACTTTTTGTTTACTTTTAAATATTGTGAGGGAATAAGACATGTATAAACTTACCTTAAAATTGGAAACTGTGCCATTCCTGAAAGTGTGGAGACAAGACAAATTCTTACAGCTACCACAGCAAGTTGTTAAATCTTTTGGAGGCTGATAGACTTGGTTCTGCCAAATTCAAACAGATTATTCCTTGTATGAAATCATCTTGCAGCTCAACATTTTACTACTGTAATGGGCAGATTTTTTTCAGGTATCTGATTTTAGGGACGTTTTTTAAATAACTTTCAAAACTGCATAGCTTACACACTGTACATTCATGAAGCTTTTACAAAATATCTTTGATCTTAATTGAAGTAAATGGGGAGAAGTTCGAAGTCTGAGAGAATGAACTGGTCTTTCTACCATTTTCAAATGTAAGTCTGACAGCTTACTTCAAGAACCACTGAAATTTTGACTTTTTACACATTAGACATCGAGTAAGTACACAGTTAGAAAAAAGTAATCCCATGGTAATGTATCATATTTGTAAAAAGACAAGGCAGCATTTGCTTATTTTATAAAGCTGTTTTCACCACATTTAGAATTATTCTTCTATTTATAATTATTCTCTTCCCAATTCTTCTTGAGCTAATGTCTGCCGGGAATTCATACCAGTTTGCGCATAATGCAGCTAAAGTTATACAGGGATGCAAGGCGGCAGTATGCTATTACTCCAAGGTGGCAGTATGCTATATACATTAGTTTGTATAAGATTTACATGGGGGACAAAACAGTGAAGGGAGTGAGACACTTATAAACTTCTAGCAGAAGTGCCATAGCACATCATTAGAGGGAGATCTCTTAGTTACTCTTTCCATCTTGTTCCTATGGCTGTAATCTACTCAACAAAACCCAGCGAAATAGAGGCAAAACCACCAGTCACAATACACATGTCTAGAATTCTGAATTTCTTACGGCTTTGCACTTGACCGCACAGTCTATTGAAGATGTGTTTATTCGGTAGTATTTAGTGGAGGGATCAATCACATTTGTACAATAAGAAATACGGCAAATGCCATCTGCACTGTGTTCCACGATCGTCTGTCCAGGAAGCAGCACAGCTCTTTCATTACTCAGGCAAACTTTGTCTCTCACTACAAGAAAACATAAATATAAACAGCATGCTCAGGACAATCAGCTTGGTATCAAAACTTTGTTAAAAAATTTTTCAAACAGTAAAACAGGAATGGAAAAAGCTACTCTACCTCTTTATGAATTATGGGTCAAATTTTTCAAATATAAACTGTTAATAGTAGTCTAATCCTTCATTACAATTGCCAAATTATTTCAAATATAACCCATGCATGGAATCTAATATATATATAAAATATTCTATTAGCTGCACCACCAAAATGACAGTGTAGGCTGCTTCAACCAATTTGTTTTCAAGTCTACTTCAGGATAAGAAATGCACCTGAGAAATATCTATTTCTCCCCGCTGATTACTGAGGGCACAGAGGATAATTAGCTCAGAATGATACATCTTAGCTGTAGAAATCTAGGCAAGGACAATCCCAACTCTGTTGGCCAACTGGAATTATTTTTTCCTGAGTTTTCTCAGATGCTATTGGGCATGCTCTAAGACAAATTTGCATGGTGCTGAATGCTATCCTTATAGAATCATAGAATCATAGAATCGTTTAGGTTGGAAAAGACCTTTAAGATCATCCAGTCCAACCATTACCCTACAATACCAAGTCTACTCTAAGCCAATCAAGGGTAGACTAGACTAAACCATGTCCCAAAGTGCCACATCTACCCGTTTTTTGAACACTTCCAGGGATGGTGACTCCACCACCTCTCTGGGCAGCCTGTTCCAATGCTTGACCACCCTTTCCGTAAAGAAATTTTTCCTAATATCCAACCTAAACCTCCCCTGGCGCAGCTTAAGCCCATTTCCTCTCCTTCATCCTGTAAAGCACATAAGCATGTCTAACAGCTCCTGAGTAGTCCCATAATGGGTTAGTGGGACTTTTCTTTCTGTGGACATTGAGTGTGTGTTTTAGTTTCTTGCTGGAGTCCTTACTGAAGTTCAGCAATATGCAGGCTGCTTAGTCAACACCACCCAACTTTGCCAAAACTCTGCCTGCTATTTCCCTGCACAGACTTCCTACTGCAGGAACTAAAAGAATACAAGGACAGGACATAATCGACCAAACATTTAGTGAGGGGTCCTATTTTCTTGCCTTTCTTACACTATGTGTGAACTATGTCAGTCAATTCTTTCCTCCTCAGTACCATGTTCAAAATGAACATCCGATTTGTAATTCCTAATTTACCTTAACACTTGAAAGGGTATCTCTTTGAATAAAATTCTTTTCTGACTTACCACATTTGTACTTAATACAGTTACAGATATTTTCTGTACTGTTCTGAAACTGTTCATCTATCTGAAGTTTCTGCCCCTAAGTGCATAAAAGCAGAAAAAAAAAGAGATGTTAAACGACAGTGTTTTCTTATCTGTGTGAACTTTTAAACACCTTTCCATCAGGTTTTGAGTAGCAGTATCTCTTCCCCCTAGAAACCTATTTTGGATCCATTTTCATCACCCGCAGAGACATTTAATTTATGAATGATAACCAAATGGGAAGTTTTTTTACACCTGGAAAACGGGGATGGTTGTTGGTGTCAGTATAGCAGACATTTAGGACAGAAAAGACTAAGCCAGGCCAACAATGAAATGCAATGGCTTGCCTTTGTACAGAAATCTCCATGCAGTGTGGAGTGTATTCTTTCATGGAATAACTTAATGGACGTAAATAGTATTACAATAGCACAGATGTACTTTTTAATTTTGCCCTTTGTTGTTTATACGTATGCATATTAAGATTTTTCTGTTTTCTGCAAGTCCTGATTCCTTATGCCCAAAGTTCTTCATCTATGAAATGCAAGTACTTCACAACAATATCACTGACAAAGCATTTTGAAGTTCCTTTATAAAAAGTGAGTACTATTTCAAATTCCTTTCTAGGACTCCAAATTATAATCTTTATAAACTATTTCCTTCGCAATATTATTTTCTGGATAAAATAATGACAAGCAAAATCAAAGCATACCCAGTACTGACTGAGAACCTAACCCAGCAATGCTAACAAAGCATTTCTGTAATGCAAAACAAGTCACAATGAAATACAGTTTAAAATTTCTGCTTAGTCAGCAGTCTGAGTGCATGGTAGATGTTAACATATTCACTATAACAAATAATATTAACAAAACACTGATGCTTTAAAGTATTTAGTTCTGACAACTTAAAACCAAAATTTTATCTTCAGGTGCATGAAAGCAGTTCCACTCTACAAATACTTCAGGGCAGGATATGGTCATAAAAAACTCCAGAAATATCTATGCTATACAGCCATTTTATTCTGCAAGATATTTAAACTTAACTGGCTTCTTAAAAATGTATATATCTTCTTGTAAAGCAAATTAAAAAAAAAAAAGAGAATGACAAGGCATTTCATATTTCACTGATAAAACTATTAGTAAGATACTGATAAATAGATTTATTAAGAAATTAATAAAACAATACTAAGAAAGAAGACAAATTTCATACCAGTTTGCACTGAGGTTTGGGGATCGTATCGCATGCACATTCTAAAACAAAATACGATTACAGAAACAATAGTTTAGAAAGTTATATGCCATTTGCTTAAAACATAGCATCAGAAAGAATAGAAATTCCAGAATTACATGTCATCACTGAAGAAGTTCTGCTGGTTTTTGAAATACACCCATCTGGGAAGTCCAGAATTACATTTGATTGCTATTCCATCCTGAAAACTAATACCAGCTTCTATGACCACCTTTACTTACTACAATTTACAGCATTGTATCAACTGCAGTCCACCTGAACACGTTAAAAAAAAGACGATCATTCTAGCCAATAGCCTCCTTGCAGTGATGGCAATCATTGCCATCAATATAAAGCAATGGAGAATTGTGTTTAAGGCATCACGAAGAGTTGTATGATACACTACCATCTACCATCATGTAAACTGACAAATTCCTGACCTGTGAACCTAATCTTTTTTTTTTTTTTTAAAAGCCATAAATAATTTACTATCTCTTACAAAATTTCAAGACGATAATCACCCAGTTTGGACAGGCAAATTCTACTGTATGCGATCATCCTTGTGAAGCAACAAAAAACAGAACAGGCAGATTAAGAAGTTCTGTACCATGAGATGACTTCTCTATATCATTTGTTCATGAACAGATCACAGTATAGCTGGCTTAAACCAGAACTTAAACCCAAGAGGCCAAAGCTCTTGCCAGTGTTGTATTGTCTAAGGCAAATAAAATGAAAATCAGCCATTTTACCACATGTCCGAAAGGGGCAGCACTTCTCTGGGCTCCATACCTCCACCAAAGACATGCCTAGCATACATTTGAATTCAGGACAACGATGTATTTCACAAACTAAAATTAAGGAAAAGAAAGTCCAATAAACACAAGGTTGTCACATTTTGATGAACGGAAGCATGAATCAAGAGATATTAAGTGACTTACTCATAATAAATAGTTTTAGAAAACAACTTACTTGTAAAGACTAATAATAAAAATTCAATCATTAGCCATCAGGTAATAGTAGCATGGAGTGCAACAGTGTGGAGTACTCTAGGCAAATATTTAAAACAGCTTTAAATCTCCAGAATTTGGGGCCTGAAATTACTCATTTGTCTCCATGATACAGATATTCAGATAATGCTTTAGGCACATGAAGTTTTAAAAGTAAAGATTATTTGTTCAGGACTCCAGATTGCTTGCTTACATGCACAAGTGGAGCTGTATCTCTAATACACCATTTTTGGCACTGAACATCCACATTACAAAATTTGACATGTTCTCTATTACTTAAAATACCAAAATCAAGACAAACTTACTACACTGGTATGTCGGACAACACCTCTCTGTAGTGTTGCCATCCACAATAAGAACTTCTCCTTCTTGACATTTGGGTATTTGATCAGAGCAAGCCCCGCACGCTGAAGAAAACAATTATTTAAATCTAAAACATACGAAGGAATTTTACTACTGCCTAGGAGACATGGCCATAAGTTTCTCACAGACACTTATGAAAGAGAACAGAGATACTCTGCATTATAGTCCCTTCTAGTCCCTATACAAGAGGCTAATTTTCAGTGCACCTTGCTTTTTATTTGTCCCCTGCTATGAAGAATGAATACGTTGTTTGTGAGTCAGATCACAACAAACAGGATTTTCTCTCCCTTTCTGTTATGAAAAATGTTGCTACATTTTCTCTCCTACTAAGTCACCCTGCTGTATTCAGGAATGCTCCTCTGACCTAATTATAGGATCTTTGATCCCTAAAAAAGGGCATCTCCTGTGATCCCAGTGTTATCCTCCCACTTGAACACATATGAAAAACACAATAGGTACTTTTCGATATGTACAGTGCAAAAACTTATTATATCAAAAGAGACAGAAGGATGCTGTGCAGACAGCAAGAAGAGCCAAATGCAGCACATCACTATCGCATGATCAAAGTGACCCCCTGATTACTGTAAATAACAGAAATGTAATTCAAGTTTTCCATTAACACTCAAATTTTTGCCCACAGAAGAGCTAATCAAGGTGACGCGGCCTTTGATTCACAGATATCTATGTGCAAAAATAGATTAAATTCAATAGGACCTCATTATCACACTATTATCATACAGAAAACAACCATATGGTAACATAGGAACTCCTATCCTCATGCCAAAAGTGCAATTTTATTATTGAATTAAGTTATTAAAGGCCAAACCCCAAAAGAACTGAACGAATCTGTGTAATACTCTTATATGGATATTTACTGTTGAATAAGATGGGCCACAGCTTATACAACAGGATATAGGGAACAAGAGCATATATAACTTCAGAGTCGTCTTTCAGATAAAATACTCATGCAGCTAGTCCACACACTGTACATGGGCAGTCTCTCAAAAGCCCTCAACTCCCTCATCCATGGACTCCACCACCACTCCTCTACATGACCCAAGAACACAACTCCATTGCACAAAGCTGTTTTGTGACTCTTGATGGTTGTTGCCAATTCTTATGTTTTGTAAACTTAATGCCCATTTTTTAACCCCTTCCAAGCCTTACTATGTCAGGAGAGCTAAAGGAAGTACAAGGAGCCTTAATTGGCAAGAAAATACTAGACATCACTGCATATCCAAAACCACTTATATTCTCAACCAGCCAGGATCCTGTACCACATATATAGGAAATGCAGCAGGTACTCTCCACCCGAGCAGCAATTAGTGTTTGATCATCTTGACAGCTTGGCAACTGCTCCATTGGTTCGCATTTTGCTGGATCACATTCTGAAAAAAGTACAACAGATGTATTTCTTTATACGAAGTATAGCATTCCTCCTTTGTTATGCTATATCCCTAAGAAATGACAGTGCAGAGCAGAAAAATACTACAATTTAGAAAAACTTCTACCTTGTATTGCAAGAGAGCAAAGACAGATTCTCGCCTGATAAACACAAGACTCCCTCATCATTACATCTGCTCAAATTGAGACACAGACCAACCCTGAGCTTTTAGATGAAAGATGTTTTGTAAATGGCAATACTAACAATGATGTCTATGCTACCTACCTTTTTGCTTCTAAGTTGATGTATTTAGTTCACTGAATGTCTTTTACAGGGTGAACTTTTTTACCTTTTCAAAAGAAACTTACCACAAACATAGTTGGGACAACAGGATTCCTCACTGTAGTAAGTGACCAGCTTTTCCAAGCCATTACACTCCGGGATTAGGGGTTCACAGAGGCTCTGATTACAAACTGTTACATAAAGGGAAAGAAAAAAAACCCTTCTAAACTATCTTATGCATTTATAAGTCGAGTAGAGCAGTGGCAAGCAGTATTTGTAGTTTGATACCCCAAATCTCCAAATAACAACATGCATATGAAAACCACAACAAACTAGCAAAAAACTGTGAGGCGGTATTCAGAAGTGTCCGGCATGGACACTTCATGGAGACAAAGTTAAACTAGAGCTGAATCCTTCTGAGAATTTAAAAAAAAAAAAAAAAAAAAAAAAAAAAAATTTCCTCTGGAAAACTCACTGCAACATCATCCCAGGTGGTCAAAACACGAAAACTGCTTGCAATTTCTTTTTGAAGATGGACTTTCTAAGCTAAATAAGGATTAAAAAAAAAAAGCTTTTATATCCTTTTTTTACTGCTCACTTTGTAAATTAGATAAACAATCATCTGATCTTTTTTCCTAGCAATTAGTTATGTCATTTATTTGTATTTGGACGTTAAAAATAAATCAGTAGCTTGTACAGCTGAAAGAAACACAATTCACATCCAAATAAACACAGAGCTATTTCAGTCCTTACAACCCTTGTCCCCTCCCCCTACCTCTGTCCCAAAACCTGCTGGATATTGAGCCAAATAGTACAAAGTTTCTACATTTTTCTACCTAATCTGTAAATTCAAACCAAAGTAATTTCCATTCACTTCAAAAGTAGGATGTGTAACAGGAAAAAAAACCACAGAGAAAGGACACCTGCATATTCCAGTTGGCAGTATTCGTAATCATTAAGGAATACTTACTACAGATCTTTTGAGGACAACATGTCTGATCACCAGGAACAAGCAAGGCCACTTCTGCAAATCGCTGACAGTCTAAATTGTGGATATCTGAGCAGTTGTACTCCACTGGAATAATGGTCTCACTGTCAACACATTTTTGCATACAGCATCCGCTCAAAGAAGTTTTCCAGATCTCACCTACTGCATGAGGTACTCCTGAACTGTCTGTACAAGCTAGATCAGGACAATAGAAAATGGAAGTAATTCCTTTTTACTTGAAACTTAGACCACCATTTTCTTCCACAGTGGGTGTGGAAATATGAAGTATAAAAATCCCGGAGTTTTAAAGGCATCACCTATCCCCATCACCCTCCAAAAAAGTGAAAGAGGAGACAGTCTGAGACTGAGTTTGTATGGGAAAGCAAGACACTCAATACCCTCCAGAGGATCAGGGCCTCCACTTTGTTTTGTGTCTCCACTGTGAGGCTAGTCACTTAAGATCCCAATCCAATCCTTTGTTTTTAAAGCAGTGATCTGAAAGGAAGTTACTTTTATATTTCACACATGGCAAAACTATTATTAATTTACAGTGGTTTATGTAATCTGATTTACAATAAACTGCATCTTTCAGGTTTGTGGTGTTAGTATTAAGTATTGGCCCACAATTTGGTGTGCTCACGCAGAATTGTAATGAAAATACATATCAATGCTGGCAGAAAGAACATAGGACATATACCTGTATTATTCAAAATGTGTAATTAACTGTCGCTGCATGTCTTTTGAAAGCCATTTAGTATCAATAGGTTGGACCCCTTGGCAAAGGGCTAGGTGAAAAGGAGGCCAAGACTAATATACTTAGAATACTAGAATGCATAAACATAAGCAAAAACTTCCATTTTGAAGACCATCCTCCGGCTGAGAGAGTGTGAGCAAAATCATATGTCACAAGGACATTCCCTGTGTGCTCACCTGTACAGTTAATGTTTACTGAATATCTACAGTCCTCAACTGAATGACATAGGCAGAACCCACACAACATCAGGCCAGAACTCAGCTTACTACTAATGAAGTATCTGACCACCAAATTGCAGGTAATAAAGAAAATCACATCCAAACATACCACATTTTTCTTCAGGAATACAGACAGCAGTGTGAGCTCGGTGAAGGATGGTCCCTCCAGCACAGACACAGCCTTCTGTCAACACTGAGCAGGAGTCTGAGTCCAGAGAAGCAACCTCATTATTCTGACAACTATCTGCAACCTCACAGGCAGCTATACAAGCCTGATAGGAGAAGTTTTCAGAGCAGGGGAAGGCTAGGACAGAAATAAACAAATCACTCATTCTGAAGTTGTAATCAAATGAGGCAGTACCTAAGAGAAGACATTACTGTCTTCTTGTCAAGTTCCTGTGCTTGCCAACTCAGTAGGATCTACCAACTTAAAACACCAATACAGACCAGTTACCTTCTACAATGCAAATTCAAAAAGGAATTTGCGAGCACTTTTACTTCTCCTTGTAGTAACATTTCCATCAGGCTTTGGTTTGCATTTTGGCAGTAGAGATATCAAACCATGCAACAGTATCGTCACAAAGTAATTTAAACTTCAAAAACATTTGCAAATACTACACAGATTAATAATACAGTGTTCTACATCATTCTAGTACTTTGCAGTGGCTAAAGAAAATGCAGCGATTACTAAAGGGCAAAGCTTTGTCAATTATAGAATCATACAATAGAATCGTTTAGGTTGGAAAAGACCTTTGAGATCATCCAGTCCAACCATTAACCTAACACTACCAAGTCCATCACTAAACCAGTTAAGGGTAGAGTAATAATTAATTTCATGTTTCCTGGCTTGGTGGCTGGATTATTTTTTAATGAAAGTAAAACTAAAATAGAATCATTAAGGTTGGAAGGGACCTCTAAGATCATCAGTCCAACCGTCAACCCAACACCACCATGCCTACTAACCATGTCCTGAAGTGCTATGTCTACACATTTTTTGAACACAATTTATACATATACATTTTTTTACATATATTTAGATAAATATATATGTAAAGGCAAATTCCCCATTGTTTTACATGGAATAATTAAGAATGGGATGAACTCATTACTATATTTAACAGATATCCACATAACTCACTCTCTTGTATGTGTGTGTTATTTTTAGCTTTAGACTCCATGACTATTATTTGCAGGGCATTACAACATGCCTTCGTGAAACCCGTACACATGTACCCACCTTAAATCACTTTAAAAAAGACATTAAAAAATCACTTATGATTTCTATGTACAGTGAGTTCTATTATGTTGGGGGATCATGCTTAAGCAATAACTCTTTCCATTTTCAAGCACTGAAACCACAGACCTCCCTATGTTATCACTGTATAGGGCTTTTCCTAGGCGATCCCTGACAGCATAAAGAGATGCTGTAATTCAGTTTTTCTATTTACTGAGATCCCATCTGGCCTTCCATTTTAGTATGTTGCTATGGGAGATGTCTTCTGCCAGGATACTCTAAGCTCTCAGGTTTTACTCCTTTCTGTATTGGGTTTGTGTGGCAAGGTTTTGGTAGTGGGGGGGCTACAGGGGTGGCTTCTGTGAGAAGCTGCTAGAAGCTTCCCCTATGTCTGATAGAGCCAATGCCAGCAAGCCCCAAGATGGACCTGCCGCTGGCCAAGGCCGAGCCAATCAGCGACAGTGGTAGCGCCTCTGTGATAATATATTTAAGAAGGGAAAAAAACCTCACCAACATCAGGACACAAACTGCAGCTGGAGTGAAGAATGAGAATATGTGAGAAGAACAACTCTGCATACACCAAGGTCAGTGAAGGAGGGGGAGGAGGTGCTCCAGGTGCCAGAGCAGAGATTCCCCTGCAGCCCGTGTTGAAGACCATGGTAAGGTAGGCTGTCCCCCTGCAGCCCATGGAGGTTAACGGTGGAGCAGATATCCACCTGCAGCCCGTGGAGGACACCACGCCGGAGCAGGTAGATGTGCCCAAAGGAGGCTGTGACCCCACGTGGGAAGCCTGCATTGGAGCAGGCACCTGGCAGGACCTGTGGACCCATGGAGAGAGGAGCCCTTGCTGGAGCAGGTTTGCTGGCAAGACTTGTGACCCCACGGGGGACCCACGCTGGAGCAGCCTGCTCCTGAAGGACTTGCATCCTGTGGAAGGGACCCACGCTGGAGCAGTTCGTGAAGAACTGCAGCCCATGGGAAGGACCCGTGCTGGAGAATTTCGTGGAGGACTGTCTCCCATGGGTGGGACTCCAAGCTGGAGCAGGGGAAGAGTGTGAGGAGTCCTCCCCTTGAGGAGGAAGGAGTGGCAGGGACAATGTGTGATGAACTGACTGCAACCCCCATTCCTCATCACCCTGCGCTGCTCAGGGGGAGGAGGTAGAGAAAATTGGGAGTGAAGTTGAGCCTGGGAAAAAGGGAGGGGTGGGGGGAAGGTGTTTTAAGATTTGGTTTTATTTCTTATTACCCTACACATGTTTTCACTTCTCTCTCCTACTCAGTTTTGACTGGTAATAAATTAAACTGATTTTCCCCAAGTTGAGTCTGTTTTGCCTGTGATGGTAATTGCTGAGTGATCTCCCTGTCCTTATCTCAACCCACGAGCTTTTTCATTATATTTTCTCTCCCCTGTCCAGTTTAGAAGGGGAGTGACAGAGTGGCTTTGGTGGGCACTTGGCATCCAGCCAGGGTCAAACCACCACACTTACTTTCCATATAATCTCAAAGGCGTTTCATTTCTCTAATCCCTTCTCCAAAGACAGAGCTTTCTGGAGCAGCATCAAGCAGACATGGCCAATTAAAAGTACCACAGAACTTTTGTGGCTTCCTCCTTTCTGTAACCAATTCTGTTGTGTTTTGGTTTTATCAGTGGAAAGTAGCTAAGAGAAATGAACACTACATTGCAAGTGAGAAGATTTGACTTCTATAGTTAAGTACATTATAAACCAGAGGAAGACTTCTGAGCAAGGTTCTTAAGCCTATCTTTTCCATCTGTGAAATGGCTATAATGATCCTGATTCCTTTTGCACACTGCTTTGAATTGTATCACAAAAAAATGCTGAATTTATTATCTCAATAATGACTTCCAAAGTATGTGAGGACTCAAGGAACACTGGTATTTTCAACTTACAGTAACACTTAACATTAGGCAAATTTTGCCTCTGTGAACACTAGAGGTACACATACATGCAGAATACTTACGGCAGTAATCAGAACTCCTCCATTCTATACAAATATTAAATTTGTTGCACATTGCCACATAGGCAGCTAGCGAAATGCATGGATTTTGAATGTACTCAGTGTCTTGAACCCATATATTACAGAATAGCTCAGGTGGAACCTAATAAAGAAAAAATAAAAAATATTGCACCTTCATAGAGACCCTGCTATGTAGTAAACGCATTGATCTTTTTAAATATCAGCTACAAACAACGAAGCCAAAAGTTCTTGGTTCACAGTAAGCAAGAAGCCACCAGCCTTCATTGGCATACAAAGAGACTCTACTAGTATTTAAAAGTAAGGCCTCCTGAATGTTGAAAAAATATAAAACATCCTTATATTTCTCAGTTTCATCTCTTGTAAGTGCCAAGGCAAGAGCTAATATGATTTTTCCAACAGAAGGCATAATTACTCATTGTTCCTTGTTCTTCCTTACCTCTATGGCTTTGTCTGGTTTTGGCCTCCTCTTCATCAAACTCAACAATATACAAAGGGTGAAATGATAAATGTACTTATATGAGCACAAACACATACTTTATTTGCACACCGTGAGTTTGTTATTTGCTTTAGGTTTTCTTTAAATCGTCTGTTCTACCCTCTCATCTCTCTAAGCTGGAACTCCTTGTCTCTAGAGCCTTTGAGAATGCAGGGTCTCAGATTACCTATTGCGATTTGGAACTTGTTAAATTACTGAATACTTAAGGATTAATTAAATCCTAAAACTATTTTATTTTACTTTGCTCTACATCATGTTGATACAGTTGAATTAGCTGGGACTGATCTATAAATGAGATGGTATTGTCAAAACTAACAGATATATATTATGAATTCTGAAAGTATTAGATGCTTATTGCAATTTTCCTATCAAGCTGGCACACTCTTCAATTATTTTTACCTTGCAACTGCAGATACAAAAAAGTATCTATCTCATTCTACAGATGTGGTTACATTTAGCTTCACATTAATGAAATTATCAAGTATACAAAATTGTATCAGAACTGCATCTCTCTCAAAACGTAAGCTTCCGAAATAGTTAACATACATAAGGATGACAGCTGCTGAAGGTCTGGTTCAACACCAGTCTTAAGCACTCTGAGCAGTCCATGACTGAGCAATTAGTTTCCTGATGCCTGTCTTCTCCAGCATACTTTAACGTGTCTGGCACTTGCCAGCTGTCTATAAAAGTTGATGGAGCATCATTTTTGCTTAAAACTGTCCTGTTGGGTAGCATCAAGTCATTTTCCAAGCTTCTATCACAAAAACCTGCGTATTACCAGAAGAAAAAAGCAGGTTAACACTGCATGGTTCATTCTGAAATATGTTTGAAATGGCATATTCAAACAAGCAAATAGCTTTTAAAAAACTTATACAACATGACAGTATCACAACCCACAACAGATGTGGAAAGTCTCTGGTAGGATCAAAACACACAAAATTCAGACAAATTAAGCAAAGCAAAAGTGAAGATGAATCTATGAATTAAGATGGGTGAAAGGGAATCTATTACATATCAAATGATCCGAGGGCTGGAGCACCTCTCCTATGAGGCCAGGCTGAGAGAGTTGGGGTTGTTCAGCCTGGAGAAGAGAAGGCTGCAGGGAGACCTTATTGCAGCCTTTCAGTACTTAAAGGGGGTCTATAGGAAGGATGGGGGCAATCTTTTTAGCAAGGCCTGTTGTGACAGGACAAGGAGTAATGGATTTAAACTAAAGAAGAATAGATTTAGACTGGATATAAGGAAAAAATTTCTTACAATGAGGGTGGGTCAAGCACTGGAACAGGTTGCCCAGAGAGGTAGTGGAGACCCCATCCCTGGCAACATTCAAGGTCAGGTTGGATGGGGCTCTGAGCAACCTGATCTGGTTAAAGCTGTCCCTGCTCACTGCAGGGGGGCTGGGTTATATGATCTCTAAAGGTCCCATTCAACCCAAAGCATTCTATGATACTATGATTCTATAAAGAGCTGTTCAGAGAGCCCAGCTATGGCACACAAGCTTCACCCCTCAGTTGCACAAGCACTAAACAAAAATGTATTTTAAAAAAGGTTACAAAGCACCTCCACTGATACAATAAATGAAAACCGTAAATGTGATCAGAAGAGGGAACTCCTACAAAATGCCACGATGCTTATCTGATACCGTACTTCAGAAATACTGTACTATTCTACTCATGCTTCTGAGCAGTCTTACGTGTCTGTTGGCTTAAGAGCTACCATAAAAGTGAAGCTTTGAGCACTTCCAGGTATGCTTGTATTACCCTCGGCAGGAAAAAATCCAACTTTTCCGTATTCACTTCTCAGAAGGCAGCATCACATTTTCTTTCTGTTTAAACTAAGGTAGCTGGCAATTTTGAAACACTTTGGAGCAATGGAAGCAATGCAACACATGGAGAGTGACTTTCATCAGCACAGAACATCCAAGTATTACAGTAATCTCCTCTGGAAGGTCCTTTTAGAGCCAGCAAGTACAAAAAAGCAGAATGATGGATCAGTCCCCCATTCTTTCTTCCTAATCACAATTTCTGGGACTTTTGTATCAGACTTCTAGAATGTTTTCTTCTGCTGTCTCCACAAACTTGCATGGCAATTATAAATCTTTATTTTTTCTGTTTTACCATTTTTCACCAATTCTTGATGACACGAGCAAGCCATTGACAATCAGTGATACAGCACTAGGCATTCAGAGAGTAAAACAGCTTTTGAAACTGTAACCATTATTCAACCAAAAATGTTTCTGGTTGAACTTTTTGAGGTTCTGAGCCTATGCAACATAAGTAGGAAGTACTTGATGGTTCTGCGAGACTTCAAAGGATTGCTGTCATGTCTGGGATACTTTTTCCACCAATTCTCTTACACATTGACAAGGAGACTTAACACAGCAAAACTAAGGCTTCGCATCTGGCTTGGTGGGATCTGGTTGCAGCTAAAACTGACATGCTTGCGCTCTCTTTCACCAGTTTTGCTATAGAGATGTCCGTGTTCCCTTCCCACATCATTCATCTTCTACACCAGCTCTTCACCAGTTGCCATGTTTGCCCGATCCTTCCACTGTAAAAGACACTGTTGCCTCTGACACAGATCCTTCCAAGGGATGCTTGCAGCTACAAAACTATAATGGTACCTTCAGTTCTATCATTTCCATGAAGCTGAGAAATCACAACCCACCAGTGCTGCAGTTCAGCCAAAAGACATCTGAGAAAGCTCAAATACAAGCAGCAGACTAACACAGAAAGCACAGGAGATCAGCGTAGACTAATTTAACCTGAAAAGATGCAGTACAACCAGCTCATTTAAAGCTGGCTCTGGCAAGTGGCACCAGACAGCACTGTGCAAGCAGATCTACACAGAGAATCACAATCAGAGATGAATACCAGAAAAATAACAGCACATTCTCTGAAGAAGTTGTACTTGGAACACCATCCACAGAAATGTGTTGTCATCTAGTTAAAGTGCCTTGTAAACCAGAAACATAATGTTCCCACTTCTCCCTATCATATTAATGAAACATGCAAAGGCAAAAGAGACTTTCAGGAATACTTGAATCAGGCTTACTAAAAAAATATAGTCTTTACTTTCTTGTTTATTTGATCTAATTACAATAACAATTAGCCAAACAGAGCAAGAATGACATTGAAAACAAAAGTTAGGGCAAATTACAGATAATAATCCAATTTCAAAATGGCAGCAAATTCAAACTCTCTTCCTTTGCGAGAAGCACATTACTGTCTGCAGGACTTGGAACTGGACTGAGCTGTCACTGGTATTTGATACTGAGCTACAGGCATTTGCCCTTTCTGAAACTGGAAAGATATTCACTGTAATTATATGAACTCTGTAACCCTGGTTTCCAGTTCCAATTTACAGCATATAAATTTACAGATTCAGGTATCACAGTACGGATTTACATCAACAAATACATACTTGCAAAAGCTATAGCACCAACAGCTTATTGAAGGCTATGTTTTTTAGAAAGAAAGAAACGATGTGCAACTATTGAGCAGACCTAACACAGTGCAACATTATGGTTATTTAACCCATTACCATTAAGAAATTCCCTCTGAACTATTTCCTCCAACAGATGAACTAAGATTAGTTCTCTCAAGTTAACATTTCCTGTGAATTCTGACCTTTAGAAACTGAAAATAGCACATATCACTTCCTATCAGATGGATAACAAACATCAAATCTGTAAATGACCTTATTTGACATTATGGATTTATGCCTGACTTACTTATTTGGGTTTGGTTACAGCAATCATGCCTGTGATTCAATCAGGTTACAGTCAGAAGCAACACTATGGGTAAAAAGTGATTACATGGATAGGTATCAAACATCATTTCCACAATTAACAAAATTAATAATAATTATTAATAATAGTATCTTAAACTTTGCAATGACCTGCAATAACTCTTTTGGGCCAGATCCTGCAAAAGACAGTTTATATAATTAGGAAAATGTGCTTCCCTAGCAAAGCATCTGAATGCCTTTATTTCTTGCACTACTCTATACTTACCACATAGTCCCAAAGCTCTTGGCTGTCTGGTACTATTAAACTCAATTATCATCACGCCTGTGTTGTGAAACCACTGAATTCTGATTTTTGTTGGGGTCTCAACTGCATACTTGAAGCCCGAATCCTCAACCTTGTACCCGTATTTTCTAACAGTAGGCCAAGCAAATCTTGAATTTACTGTTATCTAAAATACACACAGAAAAGAGGTTAAATGTCAGGTACCAAGTGCTGTAGGTAGAATAATTATGGCCAGATTCTTGCCAGCTTAGGAATCTAACTCCTAACTAATTTCGAAAGAAGTCAGGCTCACTTCCACAAAGATAATATAGGTACTAAACAGACTAATAGTTTATGTGCCTTGCTCTCTGACTTACCCCATTAACTGTCCTTTGTCCAGTTTGACTCTTTGAATTTACAAGCAGTTTACTAAATTATGAAGTTGGAACAATTAATTATATTACCTATTGTGTCCTACTCTAATCTTCAGTATCCACATGAGGAGGCAGTTGATTAGAGAAGATGCTATCTAAAAGACAAAGTAAAACAAACCCTCAAAATACTTACTTTTCTGCTTAAACGATTGATAATAATTTGGTTTGATACATAGGTTAAATTCAACATTGCCAGGCACAAAGAAGTTGATTCTGAATTACTCTGTGGAGAAAGCAAAAACACATCAACCATAGTCATGATGTGCAAAATGTTTATACATTAGCTGCTTATTGTTTTTAGGTACTGGGACATTAAGGATTTTTGGGGAGTGTATTTTTAAGAGAGGAAAACTGCTGCTTATTGTAGTTTCAAGTCTGGACTACAAAGTTCATCTAGATAGCATTCTTGCAAAATAAACAAAGTATTATGATCTCATTGTGTTCAGCAACTGTGTTGTATCACCCAATCTTGAAATTACAACAGAAAAAAAAAGGTTTTCGGAAAAAAAAAAACAAAACAGCATACTAGCTGTTTGGACATTGAAAAATATGAACTACATATCAGAAAGGTGAGCAAGAACGAGACTGGAAATGATGAAGATATGAATGATGAGATATGAACAGTACAGAAGTAATGAATCAGAAATATATGCATACTTTCTAAGGTGCTGAACAAAACAGAAAGCACTGAATACAACAGAAAAACAAATCTGAAAGTCATAAACAGATCTTCTTTTTCATATCACTCATATTGAGTTTCTGGAATTAACTTCCATAAGGTACTGCTTGGGACTAAACTTTGTGATGGACATATATATGGACATCAAAATGACCTAGCTTTCACAGAAGAGACTAGAGTCTAAAGAGTTTTGTAAAGGCTTACGGGAAATTAACTCTTCATGACATAAAGCCAATCTACACTACCCATTAGGCAGGACACCCATTAGGGTTTCTCTCTTCCCTCTCTGAAACAAGTATTTGCCCCTGTCAGAGACTTGGAATGCACAGGGTGGTCTGATTTAGTCTCACAATCCTACAGTCTTTCATGGCTCTGAAGATTTGTGTTTCCAGTGAAAGTTTCTCCATATGAACATAGATAAAAATCATGCACTGAAATACACTGGTGGTACACTGGTACACTGTGGTGGTAGTTATTACATGATAGCATTCACAGAAGGGACTAATAAATGTATATCCACTTAATCTCTCACCTCCTTGTCTATTCTACACATATAAGATAACATGGACCCACCTCTCACCTTCCAGCTGTTTCAGAAGGAGCTATGCATGTACAGTCGGGTGATAAAGTGCTATGCAATTCATAAGTGTTACAAAGTGCAAGTACAATTCATAGATATTGCAGAGAAGTGAATAATTAACCACAACTATGTAGTATTACCATGCCCTTTCTTTTAAGATACATCTTATTAGCAGTATTGAACACCATTTGTTAGCTGATAAATGTTAGTTACCATTCTACAGTCAAGGATATGGATGGTTATAGTTTCATCTCGAGTTTGACTAACAACATAGGATGCTTCTTTGAATAAAGCCAAATGATTTCCGTCATAGGTTACAATGCTCAGATCAGAGAAAATTGTGCAACGACCTAAGAAAAAGAAAAATAAATTAAATGTTTTTTCTAACCTATTTTAGAATTTCCATAAATATTACAAAATATGAAGATAAAACAATAAATTTTATAAGATTAACTAGCTTGCTAGAGTTTCATATATGCAGCACATATTTTCAGCTATATTTGATGCTGTTAAACCTCTGTAGATGGACATCAGAGTAAAATCCTGCATATTTCAGTGGGACAACCTGCAGGCCTGTGCAATCAGTTATCTTCTTAAAACTCTCACCAGCAGAGGTCTGTAATTTTTACAAACCCCAAACTAGCAAAAAACATGAATGACAGCGGATCATGCTGGGTCCTTAGTTTCCTTCTACTCTTGTTCCTAAGGCTCATGTGGAAACTTTCCTTCTTCCCAGTCTTATTGATAAAGCTTTTGTGTTTCAAAGGGCTTGGAGTTCTACTCCTAGTTATTTCAAACACTAGAGCATAAGCAGAAATTTGCATTGCTTATCTCTGCATCCTTTCTTTGCTATTATGGACTAAATTGAATTTTTTTAAGGTTTGGATTCTTCCTGCCCAATTCTAGGTAATTGACAGGAGTGACTACAGTACGCCTATGTTTCCAGAGTCCGCAAACTGTTACCAGAGCAAGTTAAGAGAGTCTAGGGAATCTTCTCATCCTGAAGTAGATATAAGATGAACCAAAAAATCCACTGACTGTATTGACTAGGTATCCTCTGATTAGACAGAGGACAAGATGGGTCTAAGTCAGACCTAGACATGTCCACTGCAGATACCTAAAGCTGGCTACGAGGAATATCCTACATTAATGCAGCATTTTGATTTTATTTCCCTGGATGTAGAACTAGAATTATAAATTGCATTAGACAAAGAGTAACCCATACAATATGCATCTTCTATTTTTATGCCATGGTACAGAAGTGTCAGTTCTTAGCCTTCTTACACATACATTAAATTGTTACCTAAATTCACTTCAAAAGTACTGCATAATTAAAACTTACATGCACATTCCCACTTTGGGCAGCATTTGTCACCATTCGTTTGAGTAGCAAATCCTAAAACTCCACAGCTGGGTTGAGTTGCATTGTACGGACAGTTCTGCGACTTATTAACTTGGATCAGTTGTCCATCCAAGCAAATGTGTTTTATGCACTCATTCTCTGTGATTGGCTAAGGCATATTTAATAAAAGACATAGGTTACCATTCTTATCAAGCTAGTATCACAATACTGCAGAGCATTTGCTCAGAAAAGGGGCTCACACTCTTCAGGTACAGAATATGTATTGAATCCCTGTGACATTGATGGAAGCTACAAGTGAAGGGCACCTTTGAAAACCTGACCATTCTGAGGACAGTTTACAACTCCTGTCCTGTTGTAAAGCAGAACAGCACTATTCAATTTTTAAATTTACCTTAAAAGAAATTGAGAAGGAAAAGCATGGAAGGGCACAAGTAGGAATAATAGGGTTCTCTGGAAAGACGTAATTTAAGGAGAGCAACGTGACAAAAAACTGCCATTGAACAATATGAAGCACCATATTTTACAAAAAAAAAATTCTTGTAACAGCCACACTCAGAAAACTGAGGCCCAAAACACAGTGTACTATAGAACTTACAAAAACCAATGCACAATGAAATCATCCAAAGTTACAGATATAATTGAGAAAATAATATGGCTCCCTGTTTGATACAGACATTTTAAATCCTAGAGATCAAAGTATGGCTCACGATTTTTTTAATCAGTATGTAAAAGTAACCAAGACATATTCAAAACCAAGCAGATATTTATAGTTACTCACTGTACAAGTCTGAAGAGTCGCTGTTTCTCTAGGCAGCATAAAAGCTGATGCTGTGACTCCTGACATGGCTTCAGCTGTTGCCAGTCCATCAGAAAATGTTGTAGTCAAGCCATAAAGTGGTTTGGTAGATAAATGGGCAAATGAGGAAACTGATGGAGCTGTTGTGTCATTTGGATGGTCAGCTGTGGTTAGTAGTGAACTCACAGAAGGCGTTTGCACCTCAGATGATATTTCACGTTTTGAAGTTTGAGTAGTACTGACTGATGATGACACAGCTATAGAAGAAAAAGGTTTTGGTTCAGAGGATGAATGTATAGTGGACAGTACTGATACACTTACATTAGAAGGAACTGCAGTTGTGTTTGTGAAATATGGAGAATAAAATGTCTGAGGTGTTTCTGGGGTAACGGTAGCACCTTGAGTATGGACAACTTGGACTTCTGTTGTTAATTCTGGCTCTTCAGATTTTACTGTGTCAACAGGCATGGCTCCTTTTGCTTCTGAAGTAACAGAAAAATAGGTAGGCTTCACAGAACTTGCGATGGATTCTGTTACTGCTTCTGCTTTGTCTGAAGTTGCTGATATAATACTAATGTTTTGCCCAGTACTGCTTATCATTGAAGAGGCTGAAGCTGCAGCTGATGAATGGGCCACAGCTGACAACATTGTACTTGCTAGAAATGTGGAACTGTAGGCAGTGGTTGAAAGTGTGACTTGCTTGGGCAACACCACAGTTTTCTCTGTACCACTTTTGCCCATTGATGTGGATGGCCCACTCCCCATCATGATAGGAATTTCTGTTGTTTCTGGTAACAAAACTGATGAAGAGGTTGACTTAGATTCTGGTGAAGCTGTAGTTGTTTCAAGTGTTTGACTTGAATCAAGTGATTCAGTGAACGAAGCCTGCCATGTGAGTTTTAGACCAGTACCTGCCTTTTGTGTGGAAAATGAAGGAAATGCTTGTTTTTTAACTGTTGCTAAAGAAGGGGAAGCTGCAAGCACTTCTGGTGAGGAAGGGAGTATTCTGGTGCCAAAAATAAAGTTAGCTGTTGTTCTAGCTGGGCCTGTAGACTGCAGAACAGAAGCACTGCCCGACACATATGGCTGCGTGACTGAATCAGTTAAATGCAACTCTTTTTCAGTTGGTAAAATGACTTGTGTGGGACCTACTGAGGTAGGTAATATACTTGAATGAATGCCTTCAGGTAGTGAGGAGATTAAGGGGTATGAGGAAGTCAATTCTACTGTAGCTTCAGTTGCACTAAAGACATGTTGTGGCTGACCAGTGGATTTTGTTAGAGTTTCTGCAGGATACTGGTAAATTGGGGTACTACTTTGGCCTGTCAACAAAGACTCGGAAGTCTGATGACCAAGTTCCATAGCCTTCTGAGTAGAAAAATGTGGTATAGCCATGGTCCCTGTGGTCTGTACTGAAAGTTTCTTTCCTGAAGATGTCTGCCAAGAGAAGGGGCCTACTGAAGATGGAGGAAAGGATGGCTGAGCTGTAGCTGCTGTAAGTTTTACTGTATCCGTTATACTTTGGACTGTAGATTTCAATGCTGTAGAAACTATTTTAGTTTCTACTGGGTATTTTGGTGTGATTGTTACTTCCGGTATCATTTGTGTCAAGGAATGTGAAGAAACCAATTTATCTGCTAGATACTGAGAGGCGGAGAAAGCGTAAGAAGATTTTGTTACTGGAAGTACAACAGAAGGGGACGGAGTTGATTTTTCTTTGGCTGTTATTACTTTTTTGGTTGTTATGAGCTCACTGCTGAATTCAGAGGATGGGGAGAATGTGGCATAAGTGATATTTAAAATGGCTTTGCCTGGTGATTTGTCATGTAATACTGTTGTTATTGGACTTGGTTGTTCTGTTATAGTGGATAAAGTAGAGAAAGTCAGGACTGGAGAGGTCTTTTCTGTTGGTAACATAGGTTTTGCTGTAGTTGTTCTTGGATATAAAGAGATTGTTTCATGGGCTGTATGCATGGGACTGAGAGCTGTCAGTGATGTTTCTTTTCCATACGAAGGTAGTGAAGGAAGAGAAATGTTTAAAGAGATTAAAGAACTTGATGGTGAAGAAGGGACAGCAGATGGCTTTCTAGTAGAGATGCTAGTAATTCTTTCCACTTGTGATTTATCAGGCTGTGTTGTCAACAATGTGGTTTCAGTTGCGCTAAGGAGAGTAAGTGGAGATGCAGTGACGGATGTTCTTTGAGCTGACTCTCTTGCTGTAGCTATGAAAGGAACTGTGGTGGTTTCTTTTGATGAGATAGAGGTTTTCATTGCTGATGTGGTAACACTACCCGAATACGCTGAAGTGCTTGTCTTCACTGTACTTGAAACCAGAGTTGACTTGTATTCAGTAGATGTTTTTCCAGAAAACAAAGTTGACTTGGCTGCTAATTCAAAAGGGGATGTTATTCTGGATGTTACCTCAACAGACAAAGGTGTCACTGTGATAGTCTCAGCCACAACAGGATATTTAGTGTATAATGTAGTCAGGAACGCTGTTGTGTTTAGAACTATGTATGAGGGATATCCTGTAGTTGAAACAGTTTTCAATGTTTTTTTCAATTCACCTGAAGCTGGAGAAGCAGGAGTAGGAACAGACACTGAAGGTCTTTTTGTAGAAAGAGTGACAGATTTTTCAGTTGTAGAACTAGGATGTAGTGAATATGGAGGGAAATAGGAACTTGATGTATGCTCCACACTAGATGTTGTTTTGGGAATTTCCTTTTTATGACTTGTAAATGATAACAAAGTTGTTTCTGATGATCTCTCTTGAGTTTGCAGAGTTGTTGTCTTCGGACCTAGAGTTGTAGTGAAAGGTACGTCTGCAGTACCAGTCAGGTATTGAACCATTTCAATACGAGGCTCTGTAATTGCCTTTCCTAATGAAATAGGTGGTGTGGATGTTGGTGAAAATGTAGTCTTCATGCTTTGTTCAGTCAAAACAATTGCTGCTTTTGTTGTTGCTGAAGACACTGGTTTTAACATAGTAGTGATCACAGGAGAAAATGATGTTACTGTAACATTAGCTACTGCAGTAAAAGACTGTCCTACACTTATTTTTGTCCCTTCTGAAGTTCCTGTTAGGTTTACTGGTGGTGTATATGAAGGTGGTGATGTGGAAAACTGGGGCAAATACACAGTAGTTTTTTCTGTTATTAATTCAAATGAACTGGGTGTAAATGTTGGAATTCCTTCTGGTTTTACTTGTGCTTCTTTTGTGGGAAGCATTTTTGTGGCTACTTCTGATATTTCCATTATTTTAGTTTTGACTGGCATTTCTGTTGTTCTAAGTATAAGTGGTGTCCCAATAAAAATAAATGTAGAAATTGGTTTGCTTTCTGATTCTGTCCTTGTAGTCACTGCATGCGTAGCAGTTACTGTCTGAGGTTCTGTAGCCCTCAAGAGTTTAGTGGAACTACTACTGATGGATTGTATCTTTGTGGAAGTTTCTGAACTGACAGTAGATGGAAACAATGGAGAAATGTCAACAGAAGAAGACAAGCTTACATTAGATTTTGTTGTCCTGGACATTGCTGTAGTGCTTCGCCCAGACGTCATTTCTGTCAACTGTGAAGAAATATTTGACGATAAAGTTATGGTTGGGAGTGTTGTATTAGATGTAACAGCTGAAAATTCAGTTTTCCCTGTAGTTGCAGTGAGTTGCAATTTTGAAGCAAGTGTTGTTTCCATGTCCTTTGCTTCAGGTACAGGAAATGAAGTTACTGCTTCACTGATCACTGCCAAATTTGTACTTGATGTTATGTGTGAAACTGCTGGTGTTCGAATGCTGGGTGGCAAAGGTGGACTATCATCTGCAGGTTCAATGCCTGAAATCAGACACAAGTAAATAGCAGTCTGAAGTTTATGAATAATTATAGTCATGAAGCTAGCAGAGCTAGAAGGAAGTTATGTTAACTCATATAACTCTGATCTTTTCAACTGCCTTTAAACTTCTAAAATTCATAGACCAATTAAAAAATAAATTCATTAAATCATTTGCTCCACATCTAATGTTACTGGAATGTTTTATGAAGAAAGAACATCTTTCTTGTTTAAAAATTGTCTCAGATTTTTGAGGAGTGAAATTATTTTAACTAAAATGTATGTTCAGTGGGCTCAAGATTCACATAACTAAGGTCACAGTCACACAAATTTAAGCACTGTTATTTGAAAATTTGACTAAAGACCTAAGAAATTAATAAGCTAAGTATCATACAAAATATATATAATTTTTCAAACATACAGTCTTCAAAATACACGCATCTCTGAGTGATTTCATCCAGCAACATATTGAGAGGACAGGCAGGGATGCATCCTTCCACTCTAAAAGAAAAACAATTAGTATTAACTAGTTGAACAGTGTCTTCTAGATTGAACATTTAATTTTAGGAAAATAGAATTTATTTATAAAGTGTTTTTAAGTAGACAGTCTTGCTCTATCTACATCTCATTACCTCAGTGTACTCCATCAAAATGCCATTGCCATGGCTTCCATTTCACTCAGATCTAAGCTAAAGCATGAACTCCGTGATACTCAGCCTTTGCAATGAACGGTCGCAGGTTCAATACTGAATGCTATTGCTTAGCAAATGCCAAACATTTTTACACATCAAAATCCAAATGCCAGTTTTACCAGACTTAGCACAAATTCCAGTCTGGAGGAAAAGGCAAGAACAGATATGGCTGTTGCAATGCCGTAATGAAAAAGTAGGGGCACAGCTATTTGAACCAAACTTATAATCACCTCGGCTTTATGAATACTCTATAATACCCCCCCAGCTTGAAAGTTCCAAATATACCAGTCATTCCAAAATCTGACAATACTTACCTAACAACTGAAATGTCACTTTCATGTAGGTGCCACAGCAGGTTTTATTCTATTTCTTTTCTCCTTCACTTACTTCCTTATACAAGAACACAGTCCTGCTACACTGAGCCTACGTCTGGTCCCTCATATTCTTATTATACTGCGTACGTATATTACCTAAATTACATATTTTTCCATAAAAGTACAGATACTTACTTTGGTACTGCCTGACAGTTTTTTCCCAAAGGGTCCCTGCACGTCTTGAAACAAGGGCTTATACAGGCATCATAATGCCATTCACACGTAGAATGGGATAGAAATTTAAATTTGACATCTGAAAAACAACAAAGATCTGTTATTCTCATGTATTTCTAGAAACACACAGAGATATGTATCATTAAGAGGCATGCTTTAAGTTCACTGCAGCTCTAAATCTTACTGTTTCTACCCATTTTCTCTACAAATAAAATCAGCAACTTTTTTTTTTTCAACTGTTAAGGACTTTAAAACATAGAAAAAGTTTACGTTTAGGCAGAGTATATTAAAGAGTGCTGGCTCTGCAGCCTGTTTTACTCTTTGTAGTATAAAACATGACATTGAATTAGCCACATCTACTGCATATTACAACCACTTGAAAATAAAACTAGGCAAGTTAGAGCTGTTGTTTTTAAGTTTTAAAAACTATATCCACAATGAAACTATATGTTTGGTTATTCAAACAAAATGCAAAATTAAGATTATGTTGATTCAGTACAATTATTGCTATTGAAAAAAAAGCACCAGTTGGATACACTGATACTCTTTACAACATAATGTATCGTAACAATTGTTTACTTTGTGCGCAAAATTTGCTGATAGAGCACAAAGGCGTACAGAATTTGTATGAAACAATTCTATTTTAAAAGCCAAAACAAACACCATTCCAAATAAAGTAATCAGAAATTATACCAATTTAGGCTCCTTAATGCAATATATCTTAACAGTTGATCTTCTCAAAAGCAGTATGACAGGCACTCCAAGAGAAATTAATTCAAACCTCAAAACATTTTGAATCTGAAATTCTAACCGCTCCTACGATCAGGAAAGCAACTCAGACAAGATGAGACATGTAGTCTTGCAAAATTTAACTCAAAACATATACTTCACCAGAAAAAAATAGTTTCACATAATTGAAAGACAAATTCAGATAGAGGAAGAGTTAAACTTCAAAGTGAGAATAAACAGAAATATGGATCAGCTACGCTTCCAGTGCTTATTAAATGATGCAGGAACTTTACAAAATTAATGCAAAGAAGAAATAGACTGAGTATAAAATCTAAAAGAAACAAATTTGTGGCAATCATCATGTGGGTGACGTGCACTTGCATGTTCAAATGCAGTATCATGCTTTCTTTTTCGCTACAACCCTGCCCCATCTGCATGCAGAATTTTTTCCCACACAATACTAGATAAGCCCAGTGGCTCTACCAACGCCTGCATGACTTATGCAATATATCTGGATTTCAGTACCTGAACTACAACAGCCCACCCCAGCTCCTTCTGTAGCAGTCAGGACAGTGCAGTGACACTTCCCTTACATTTATGCTTACAGAAGACCACCATCATGACATATGGGTACCCTCTAGATTGGTAAACCTGATCTCAGACCTATGTTGTTCAAAGCCTACAAAGAGTAGCTGCTCTTAAACAATGTTTACATTAATGACCAGAAAGAAAATGCTTACTAGTTAGAAAAAGGTTCAATTTTTGGTCTTTTGAAGTCTTTTTGCTTTAAGTTTTGCTGATCTTTGCTTGACTGAGACACAGAGTAGATCTTTTACATCTTCTCGGAGATGTTAGATTTTCCTGTGAAGATCCTACGAAATTGTTCTTCCTGCAGTTCAGGGACACCTGCACTTACGCGTAATTATCTCTGCCATTACTAACCATTAATGTCGTCTTTGTTAATACAAATAATTCTCTTAAATCAAAGGTATACCTCAAACTCAGACAAAAGAGTGTGTATGTTGCCACCTAGTGTTATGCTTTTCAGATGTCACTCTATCTAAGGATGTAACTTGTCACTGCTTTTGAAAATGTGATTCTTATGACAGTAATAAATGCATTTATAAAGTTACATTCCTATAAAAAGCCAAGTACAAGTCACTAAATTCTTCTGTGACCCCTTCTAGTGAAACCTACTTAAGTTGCTTACATCTGATGGAGGAAGGGAATTTTTTCCATACATTTTCCTGACTGATGCGTGGGCTTATGTATTCGCTGACAGGTCAGAGTGGTAATGTTTAAGGACAAAAGAAGAAGATATATGACAAAAAGACAGAACATATCAGAGACCTGTTGGCACAGGCAATCACCAACAGTAGTAATAGCCAGCAATAACAGTATATCCGAGTGGAATCTAGGAAATCTTATTTTCAGACAACCCTAGATTAAGTACAGAGACAGATCCCTAACTTTTAATTCTTGCCACAAACCTCACCATTAATCACAGAAGTTTCAAACACAATAAAGGCACAAGCTTTGTAGAACACACTGTAACGTGACAAAGAATGTTAGTTTTTCAATTTAGCAGAACAGTGATTGTGAATTAACACTCTAAGTGCTGGGATTAACATACCATCTCCCATTCTGCAAATAAATTTAGACTTTTATGAAATGATTGCCATGTTTTCCTCAAGCTTTACTACAGATCAAGTTCACGGAGTTTGCTGGTGTTGCATGCCTTGGTAGGAAATAGGGCGAATTTCTACACCACCTCATAGCGTTTGTTGAGTGGTTCATAAACATTGCTTTCAGTCAAGAATGAACAAAGTCATGCTTGTCTGCAAATTTTGACTCTACTTCTGCAGAAAGAAGTATAGACAACAGATGAATTCATTAATCTGGTTGTAAAAATTGTTTTCAAATAAGAGGTGTAGAACCAATGGACATTAATAGAGAATTGAGTATGCCAGGCCAGTCCGTATTACGTTTTTTAGTGTGTAAATTACATAAAAGAATAGACCAAATCACCACAGCAAGAGTTGAATATATTGCATGAATTAGTTTCCAGTATCTCAAAAGTTTTCAGTATGTCTCAGGCTTGTGCCTTTATTTGAAACTTCTGTGATTAATGGTGAGGTTTGTGGCAAGAGTTAAAAGTCATCAGATATACTGAAATCTCTGCTTTATTATGAATTATGGGAAAATGCCTTTCCAGCATTAGGAGAACATCAGTTCAGTCATTCATCATATTTAAAGTTTTCACTATTGGAAGCATCACTTCTGGAATGCCTAAGCAGCCCAAGGACCTAGCTGATTGACTGTGGAAGCCACTGTAAAAAAAGCCACAGGAAGATGCAGTTGCTGCTTAAAAATGTAGACTAAATAGAAATTAGACAGAAAATGAAGGGGAGGATAAACAGAGGCACAAAGCCGTGTTCTGAACTAACATGAATTCAAGAACAAGCCAAGAGAACAATAAAGTATCTCTATACCTAGCAAAAATAATAGATTATTTTGTCTCTTTTTAGTACATCTGTGTATTAACCGTGATCCCAAATACCCACAATCATCAGGGTATAAGGAAAATGAGTAACGAAGTACTTCAAAGCCATTCAAGCATCCCTCTTCCTAAACTGAGGGAAATAGTCCTCTCAATCTCTGTGTCGATTTTAGACATTAACTTCCATGCCAGACCAACGTCAGCTTTATTGTTACTACAATGCTGCTATTCCCATGACAGAAACTACCACAGCTCAGAAACTCTGGATTTCACCAGTGTCATGGCATGAATGCTTTATGCTAGCCAGGATGCTAATCAGCCACCTCCACCACATGCTTCCCATTTTTTTAATATTTAAATTCCGCCTCCAGCATCCAGTAATAGGAGCTTACTGTACTCTGTGCAACAGTACAGTTCACTCACAACAAAAGAATGAAACACAGTTTACAGACAATGAGTCAAGCTTCTTATATGAGGCATGTGTTCCTTAAAAGGATTTGTCATGGCATTTGAAAATAACCATGTGTCTCCTGGTGAAGTCTACCAGCATTTGTCTTCGGTTCAGTGACACAGCAAATCCTTCACAAAATGGTAAATTATGCCCTAGATGACAGTCGCTCCAGTTGACATGCCAACTGAGTCCACAGTTCTTTTACCTAACAGGAGCTGAGCATATCAACATGTTACAGTACTGCAGAAAGCTTTTGTATGAATGCAGGTATACATGTTGCCAAAGACAATACAGTAAAAGATATTCTCCAACTCCATTGTTTTCTCATTTGCTTGGACATCGGAGAAGTATTTTGTTCCCTGTGACTTATGGCTTTCATTCTTTAGGGCTTTCAAAAATAATTCTATGGTAATGAGAACAGTTATTACCATCTAATGAAGAATTTTATTTTTTTTTTATCACTTGACACGACTGTGGTGTCCTCTTGAGTCACAACAACCTTTCTTAGTAACCTGGCCACTTTTTTGTGTGTTGACAATTCCTACTGTTCACAGGTCCATCCTGCCTTTTTCTTCTATGCTGACTTTTACGTCATAGGGACAAAATTTGCCATTCTCAGAATATGCATATTATGAATAATTTCATGCTATGCTCAAAAAATGGCTATTTACTTTAAAAAAACCCTAAAATTTAAAATGTTCTAATTTTAATAAAAGGTTGTATTCAAAATAAAGGTTTTAAAAATAATGAAAAAAATTAAGTATTTGGATTTTCATTCTCACCTGACACTTTTTTCTGTTTTGCTACTTTTCCCAAATATTTCAAAAAATCTGGTAGAAGCAAAATTTGCTTTAGAATTAGTTCTAATGGCAGCAAAACTCTGCTTAGTAACATAGATTGCCTATCTCCTCAGTTACAAGTTTAGAAACATGAAATCCTATCTACCCACTTAACACACACAAACTACTAACAAACTCTGCCCATGACTTCTAAGTTTCTGCAATGAGAAATGTAAGCAATGGAAAAATTTAACTTTGTGTCCAGCCAAAACATCACTGAAAGCGAAGTATAATTATCTACCTCTCAAATACTTTTGTTTTAGTTTACTATTACAATGTTAGATGAATATAATCTTGTTAACATGACTATTTAATCTCCTCCTATTTATTCAGTCAAAAATAGGAGGTCAAATGTTTGTGTTTGTGGTATAAATAAGAAAGACGTTATAATTCTACAGTAACCTCAGTCTAATTCCAAGAGCTACTGAGCAGTTATGTTGAGTGACATACCCAGGATTTGCAGGTACAACAGCAGTTGCTCAGCATTATCCAGTCCCAGGCCCCATGTCATGATCTTTTGGACTGACAAAGCATACAAGCTCAAATTAAACTTAAGAGCAACTCATTATAAGTAAAATAGGATGGGATGTTCTGGAAAATTAATTTTACTGATGGAAATGGATAAGAGTAAGTTCAACTTAAAATAGTCAACAATATCATGTATAAATATGCCTTAAGATGCAAGATGCTTTTATAAAAAAACATTTTTCATTAAAATTAATTTCATTTTCAGTTTTGTACTATGTTTCTGAATGTTTTTCAGTTAATTAAGATACAAACACTGAAAGCAACCAAAAATGCCCTCTATCAAACTTAAACATTGATAAATACCTCTGTGCAGTGTGCATATACTTAAGTGTATCTTGAGATTTTAATTTTAGCTGAAAATTCTCTCTGAGACAGGCCTTAGATTTACAGCAAGTTAGCTGTTAAAGCACATAACTAACATTATTAAGAACTTTGCTGCAGAATTTATATAGGGCAAGTCACAGTTTTATAATATATATAAAACTAACTCACAGGGTAAAGCATATTATGATAACTCTATGGAAGGTAAAAGGTAACTAGCTTGGGCATATTATTTTAAAAAAGTGTAAGAAAACTGCAGTTATATCCATTAAAAGATCATAAATTCCCTACATCCACTAATTTCCCAACAATTTCAAATGTGAATTTATCGCTCTTACATGACAGCTCTGTGCTTGTCCATCTGGTAGGACTAAGACTTTCTTTTGACTGAATGCGTATCAATCCATTGCTGGTAAAAATCCCTGCATAGAACGCAAAATGTATTTTCTTGTGAGTAGGTATACTCCAGATATTCAAATTCAGTTATCAACTCAAACCCTCAAATGTTGGTGGGAACAGGACAGCAGACAAATCTAAGTATAACGAAAAAAAACCAATTTAAAAGCTGAAGTGACTTCTCATGGAAAATACTTTGCAGTGTTAGCCCATCATATCTGCGCAATTTATAGTCAAAGTATTTCAGTGTGACAATATTTATTGCCATGAAACTGGAAAAAGTGACTCGTCAGCTGACTTTAAACAAACATGTATCTATTGCTGCGGTGATCAGGTCATTTAAAATTCTTCCTTTTGAATGTGCGTCACAGAGCATGAAGAAGTCTCATGAGGAACTTTCTGGCCAAGGGGATTTACTGGGCCTATTATTCTGCTCCTGATATTTATCCTCTGATTCTGCAGGAATAGCTGTTCCCGGTTGAAGAGTTTCTGATCTAATATGCAAAGCATTTACAATAGTCAGCAGGAAACTCAATACGCTTTTGCCTGTGCACTCTGGAGCTGGTGTAACTTTTCCATTAAGTTAAACAAATGCTGCTGTATTTTTAGACCATGTAATTACCCTACATCAGCAGGCTGGCCCTTGTGAAAGTACACTGGAGAAAGATTCAAGCCCTATGTTTCTCTGCTTATAAAACTCTGAAACCTAAGCCCTCGGATGTGGTGATTAATGAAATGCCTCTTGATCATTTGATCTGATCCCACTTGCTGAGGTAAATTGTTTTAGTTTTCCATTGGCATAGATAGGATTTTTTGGTATAATGACTGGAGGGTAAAGACTTCACACTTGAAAAGACATACCACTCTGTGTTAATGGACGACCACTGAGAATTGGAACATGTTTTAACCTTCTTCATTCCTCCCTCAAAGATAAAAGACTAAGGAGATATTTTTGTTATGTCCAAAGAAAGTTCTTTGCTTGAAATGCTGTACGAACATCCTGGTAATAGCATTAGCTCTATAATTCTGCTGTTCAAAAACCTCAACAGCTCTATGATTACAAGCATTTGTCAAGAGGCAACAGGCATTTGGCAATGACAAAATCTGTCATTTTTTCTGAAGTTGGAGTGTGCCAGTCAACAGCTGCATTAGGCTGTCAGCATAATGCTCTGCAAAACATCGGCAGATTCACAATGCCACCATTAACACTTTAATTCAATGTTTTGATAACAAGAAGCTCCACGAGGCATACAGTTGGCCTCTGCTGTCATAGAAGTCAGTGCCTGCTTCAGATTTGTCTGTGCTGAGATTCAACATGGTCACTGTAAAACATAGCCAGGCCATACTTCATTTGTTACAATATTTCATTTTCTTTCTTTGCTTGTAAAACAAATTGCAGTTTCAGAGAATGAAGAACTGATTTTAAAAAATGGTATTGCCAAGAATACCTATTAAAATACTTCTGCTACCCCAATAAACAAATTACTAATGCATCTGAAATTACAGCACAACAAAAAGCTTTAGAACACAAAAACAAACACTTGTATTGATTTTGGAATTTTATATACCACACAAAGGCCAGTGGTTTCCGCAAGTAGTAGTTGTTGCTGAAGTTCATAAAGTCATATGAGTGTATTACATGTATCTGATGTATCAAGACAAGCAGACACTGAAGCAAATGGTGGTTTCATGACTAATCTGCTTTGCTTTATTTTACAGGCCAGTATAACTTCTTGCATCTTGTTCTTGACCTGAAAGGTCATCTTCATTTCAGTGTGTGGTTCCCAAGTGTTTAAGAATATGTGAAAACAGCTATTCTTATTATTTCTTTTCCCTACTAATCTAAAAAAGTTATTTTTATTAGTGATATTTATTAGTGATTTTTCTAATGTGTGGTTTTTGTCATCAGTTCTTGTAGGAGCAACTTCTGGATCCAGCTCCTACAAAGGGTCCTAAGAATAGCTCCTACATTTCTGATCCTTATGTCTCAGTGGAATGGGACTATTAAAGGAATGGGAATCTCTCAAGTAGGTAGAAACACTCTCACAGCAGTCTACGTTGTGTATTCAAGAGCTGTAGCTGTCCAAGAAACAGTAGAGAAACAGACATTTAGATCCCCAAGAAGAGGCATGTATCTCCACTTAGATGGTGTCTGCAACACTAGGGGGTAACATCCCAAAAGGCAGAGCCTCTCTGAGTTGGTACACAGATAAAGGTCAAGGTGTTCTTCAGGGGAAGCATGAGGTTTGAGAAGTATAATCTACAGGCAATGTCCTTAGCACTGGATGGTATGGCCTCTGAGGAGGCCACAAAGCTTGCAATGAGAATGCACTGTACAGAAAACTCTGTCTTGGTGGCAATCAGAGGGAAAGGAGGAGAAAACACCATCCACAGACCTTAGCTTTTACAGATGCATTCAGCTCTTTTCTATTCCCTTGGCAAATCCATTTTTCACCAGCATGAATTTTTTACTCCTTAAGAATTTCCTCACCACCTACAAAGCAAATATTGCCCAGAAACCATACACTAGGGTACGTATTTCCAAAACTAGTTGGCAAATACAGCAAAGTTGTGTGTTAGGCTATTCAATGGCTTTTGACAAGAAAACAGAATCTCATCCTCAAAACAAAGCTCAGGGAAGAAGATTTTGAGCCTGTGTGTCACAGGTTATTCACAGCTCCCAGCAATGTAGGGGAGAAGTAAGCAATCTTGTCACCTCTGAAAATATCAATACCATCTAGCCTGTATTTTCACAGGGAGCAAACTGCTGTTCATAAAATGCAACTTTACCTACCTACCTACAAGTTTAAAAAGGGTCGACAGTCTGAACTCCTCTGAATGACGGTACTTCAAAAGCTCAACTGAAGAGGCTGAAAAGTGGATGAAGTATCCTGGTTTTGCAAATGACTCAAAGGAACTGTATCCTGAAAGCCATGTATTCTTGTGAATGACATATGTAGATCTGTTGTGAAACTCTTCACTTTTTTCCCATTTAGAAAGAACGAGAGAATTATTGGTGGTCAACTGAAGAAAATAGTTTGGTCTCTCAGCTGTTTCAAATGAAATCAAGTTGGAATCTGAAAAAAACCACACAGAGCTCATTTACTTGCTGATATACACATAATAAACTAAACTCATTCTGACGTACCACTACTGATATTAGTAGCATGAGCAACAAAAACTGACTTTGGCCTTATCAGTGAAAATAGCCTGAATCTTGAAGAAAATACATAGTACATAGATTTCAGAGAGCTAGATTCTGATGGATATTTAGTTTTCTAAATATCCTACAGATTTCAACAGGAATACAAGCAGATTAAAACATTTGCCCACACCAGGATAAAATAATATAGCCCCGCAGTCAAGCAGAACTTCAGTTTACAGCCTTCACTAAGCCATTTATTTAATAAAAAAATAAACTTCAACTAACTAGCTTTACAAATAACGTTTGCCATCAGGAATTTATAGCTTAAGAGCTCAGCCTTTAATTAAAAATAAATTACAAAAATGTATTTTGCATTCATCTTACAGCTTTATGTCTTAATTTCTAAGCAGTCAGCTCTCTAGCCCTTCCCCTAAGAATGTTAACAGCAAAGTCTGTTTTCTGGCAAATGTAGCCACATGATACTCTACCATGAAAACAGTACTGTTGATTGCAAGCAAGCTTCTGTACAAGCAATTGCAGAGTGGCAGATCTTGAGCCTGTTACAGGCATCTGTTGCTCACAGAATTATTTCATTCTGTTTTGCTGTAAACTCTGCTATTCTCTTGAAAACAGCCATTAAACTACTGTAAAATCAACTAACCCTCCAGGCCTGGGTAGCATTTCTTGAAAAAAAAGAATGCATAGAAAACAAAATGATCTCTATTGAATAGATAGACTATCACATTCTGGTATAACACTTCTGGAAGACCAACTTGTTTTCTGAGCATATAAACTTCAATTAATCTGAAAAACAAAGTGGCACGTGTAAGTATCTTTTTATTAATTGTCTGTAGCAAGTAGCTATTTGATAAGTAACTATGGACAGTCAGTGTCATTTATAACACCTACCATATAGCCAATCAGTACATTAATGCCCAAAACTTTCCATTGTCTGTGATTTGTCTGAAACTGATGAAACACATCCATTTTTCTGAGGTACCAAAGAACAAAGAACGCAGATATATAAATGAAGACATGGATATGAAAAATATTGTACTGATTGTACAAACTCCTCCACGTCCAAATAATGAAATGCCATTCACTCCAATCAGACTATAAGGCACAAATTCCATTTGCCAGGTTAAATTCTGAGCACGAGATTTTTATATGGAAATAGAACAGTAGGACTGACCTTCCCTTTCCAAACCTAAACTGAACGCAATGTACAAGTGTCTCAAAACTATGACTAATAAAAGAAATCTGGCCCTGGATATTCTGTTACATGAGTTCTTGTGTCAGTTCTACAGACAGCAGTATTACTAATCAAATGCTTGTCATTTTTTCAACGGACCCATACCACTTCTTTGATTACACAAAGACAGCCACCTTCAGGCTGTCCAAAGAGCTGGTCAGAGGACTCTGGGCAGTAAAACTGTATTGAGACTCAAGTGCTCTGTGGGCATTAAAATTGCATATGCAGACAACTCTAGCATTTAGTCAATGTTACAAAGTGCTGAATATATTCTTGTAAGCTTTCTCCACCTGTCTGAAGGTGTGGAAGCCTTCTTTTGTCTGCTGAATAAGCAACACATTCCTTCAGTGGAAACTTACGTTGGGACCTGAAGGAGGCAAATTTGCAGTATACACCCTTACACAGCTCAGGTTAGTGCCAGTGGGTACCTCTGCACAAGTGGGCAGATGGTGGCAAAGCGAGCGAATTAGGGAGTACTTTTCTTGTATCATTACTCTCCCATTCTTTCCCATGTCCCAGTTCTGCCAGAGGAAAGCTGAAGAGAGCAACACATATCTGGAGCACTGGGCTACAACACTGGTTTGGTGCTTCTGAAGGTTGAGGGTGGGGGCGGGGAGGGGGGGCTGTTGCTTTTCAACTAGAAGTATCTGTTTATAAAGCTACAATCATCTAATTAAAACCAACCAAATGAAAATTTTGGCAGACAACATTAAGGTCCACAATCAGCTGACAGACAAAGAAAGCATTTTTTGATCCAGGTCTGTTCTTAAACATAGGCTCATATTCAAGGGTAGAATTTGCTCTGCCTTATTTAAGCCTCTACGTTACAGGGACTTTACCATGTGCTTTGGGTTTATAAAGTCCTGAAGTCAGCATAAAGCTCACTGCATGTCCAGGAACAATATCTTCTTCTCTCACTGGGAAAACCACACCATCCACCAGTTTCACTGCCATTACAAATTCTCCATTCAAATAGCTGACCAGTTTGTATGGGCCCTTTCCCAGAGCTGTTGAGAACAAAAATCAGAATTATCTTTCATGTCAAGTGTGACAAATGCTTGAGCTCTAAATATTATGATACAGCACATAAATAAAAATACATCTTTCCACTCTTAAAATAGCTTTAGGTGCCATGCACCAAACTATAATGACAACCAAAACAAAGCCAAACTCTTTTAGAAAATACCTGTTCTGAAAACTGTCCAAAACGCCTAGTTTCAATTTTCAAGATTCATGATTAGCTTCTCCTTTTCTGTCCTCTCGTCCACTTTGGTTTCATAGTCACTTTAATAAAGTTAGCTGACTCCTCGGTTATTAGATTTAGAAGTAAAAAGTGTTCTACAGACCACCCCGGGATCCCTCCAAATTGTTTATTTGTATCATTGAACTGATTACACACTTCTTACTATTCTTTAAAACCTTTTATTAGTGTCCAAAGTGTGAGGCATTTTGCAGGGAATAAAATATTGTTGTCATCAAATATCAAAGAACTTCTTGAACAGCGTAGGTACAAACATAACCACTGGGAAGCGAGACAGGAAGAAATCAGCATCATAAGCAAAAGAATGGTCACATTTTACCTACAAGTAAAAAAAGCCAAAAGCTTGCCAAGTCATTATTTCACAAATCTTACAATCTCATACCTCCTCACTTAGTTCCAATTTCACTGCAGACAAGTATTTTAAAGTTTATTTTTAAATGTTATTTGAAATTATTTTTGTAAACGTCTCTTCAAACCAGGCATTTTAGACCACACCCATGCAATTCACCTCACTACCATTTTACCCACAAGCCAGGACACAGCAAGCATACATCTAAGGTAGAAGTGTCCCAGAACTTCTCAGCTGACAGTTACAGCTAATACCACTGACCCTTAAAATCTGTTCCAACAGGTTAAAAGTTTGGACTGCAATTTGCAGCCTGCCCTCATATTCTGGTTTTCCCTAATTTTAAAATGTATTAAGAGTTTTGAAATCCTAAGGAGGCTGTACTAAAATCAGAGTTTTAGATTCTAATGGCATAAATAGGTGGCCAGTTAGGACACAAGCCCATGCCTCGCTAAACATGTACAGATCATGATACCTGGTTACCTTCAGTGCAGGGCGTTGAAAAACATTTTAAAATATACTTAAAACATCTAGTGCTCTGGAAATGTCGTTATAACTTTAAGTCTCAGACTCAGAGATATGTCTCAGGCCAATCCAAAACCTGAGAAACCACAGCTACCAGCTGAGAATTTCCTCTTACCAAAGACAAAAGGCTTCTGCTCCTGCCTCTAGTAGGACTGGAACTATTTCACTCTGGATTCAAGACAAAGTTATACAGAGAAAACCTCTCTCTGGTCTAAGACAGTTTCTTAACCTTCCTGTCTCCAAAACTAAGTAATTCTGGAGAATGCTACTATATATGAGGTAGAGAAGAAAATCTTCAGCATTGAGATCATTATTTTCCCCACTGGCAGCTCTGAAACATCCTATGTTGAATACTGATAAGCTGGATTAGCAAACAGTAGGAAGACAGCAAGTGAGAAGTATACAGTAACCATGTTTATTATATGCATAACTCTCCACTATTTCAACTAATTTCTGTCAGTGAGAATTCAGTAACAAGTAGAACTAGTAACACACTTTAAAAGCATATGTTATCATCTAGCTTCACTTTACTACTACCACAGATACTGGAGGCATGGCACTTTCTATCTGTTATAACTGCAGTAAGATTATCTAGTATCAGACTGTATTTCATTTATAAAACAAAGCAAACCAAAAAGGAAATGTAAAACTGAAGTCACCTCTTATATTCAACTGGCCTTTATTTAAATTAATTTAAAGGCTTAAATAGTGATTTAGCTAAAATTCCACTGCATTAGCAATTTGACCGCACTCAAAATCTTTTCAGCAGTCAGTATATCAGAAAATGTAAATTTCTTGGCCATATCGTTTGGAACTGGCACATTGCACGAGTCTCTTCTAATTTAAAATCAGTCCCTCTCTGAGATCTTTCTGGGGGATCTGCTGCAATACGGAGTCTAACAGAAGACCAAAATATCAGGAACCATCTGGATAGACAGGCTTCTACATGAGCTTGATAAAAAGAGTTAGAATAAATAGCAGGAGTCCTGACCATTCCTCACATCAGGCTGGCTTGCAGTGCTCATATATGTACCACGTCTAACTATGCAGACACTTGCAATATAACTTTAAAATAGTCTGAATATGGATTCCAGTGTGAACACAGGAGTACAGCTCCCAGTGCAAATTCAAGGTTTACTCTAGCACCTTGTACAAGTTTTGCACCTCTCTCTGAGAGCCATTCTAATGCAGCAGCAATGCTTGTTGCTCAGGATCTTAAAGCTAGGTCAGAAATACCGAAGTGGAGAGTTATTCCCCATTTGGGCACAAAAAGTTGAAATCTCTTAATAGCTAGCTCCCTCTGGAGGCCGCACAGGATATCATGATTGGTTTAACAGACCCACGGGGTATCAGTTTTGAACGCAGTATGCCTTAAGCAAGTAGTGCCTCTAGTACTATTGGGTTGAATAGTCTATTAATTACTTAATATTTAATTGTCTAATCATGATCCATAAATGCAAAGAAAATGAGTTAAACACGTATTTTTGGGAAAGGCCCAGGAACAAAAAAGATTATGACATTAAACCCCTTCGAAATAGCAAAATAAACCAGTAAAACAGAAACTTGGCTATTTAAATAATACAATAATTTGCAACTGTTTTCATCAACACAATTATCTTTATACAAAGTACTAAAACTTACATAAATAAACCAAAGATTCTATTGACATTTTATCAGCTCCTGTAGGACTTACCTTTGTTGAAATATTCACAATCATAAGCTAAAAAATAAAAAGAAAAGAAATGCAGTTGCAGGCATTCTGCAGATAAACAGGTTTTCTATTACCCTTTACAATTAATAGTTAAGCCAAATCTGTGGCCAAGTTAGATCATACACAAACATTTATTTAAAAAAATATTGCCAAATATTTACTGCTTTAAATAAAATACTAATTTAAACTATACTGATTTAAATAAAATATTGTTTTCTATCAGGAAATGCTAAGCTTATATACCTACAGCTGTCTTTTTGTGACCTCTAGTGGTTAAGACTAAGCTTTGCTGTCTTTCCATGCTCACGTTAGAACAGACATACCGTTTCTATCAAAAATTAAGAGTAACCCTCTTCCTCTATGGCAAATTTGCTGTGTGACTTTGAGCAAGCTGCACACTCTCTCTGTGTAACTGCAAAGTTAGAAAAATGCTTGTTTTCTTCCATTCTTTCTATCTTGCCCTTTTTTATCACATCTTTGGGGAAATGACTGTCTCCTGTTAGGCATTTGCACGAGATGCCATAGAAAAAGGTCTCAGATTTTTTTTACAGCTTCTAAGCATTGTTGAATAGGGATACTAAGGTAATGACAAAGTGCTGCTTAAAAACCTACTTGTTTTTCTTCAGAAGACCTTTATATTTCACGCTCGCTCTGGGGGCAATAGTAAGGCAGCTATGTTTCCTAGACCCTGTTAAGAAGTCTTCCTGAAGATGGAAATCACTTGAGCTGTTAACTTTGGTTTGAGGGACACATGCCGTATCCTAATAGAGACTTTCCATGACTTTTCCTTTCACATCACAGGACAAGGAATTAAAAATAGAAGAGTACCACCCACAAATATGGAAAGAAGCATGTAATCCAGCTAGACCAAAATGAACATGGAGGGCAGTGAGAGGCACCCACTCATCTTCCTATCAGCATGGCTTAGTGATTCAATTCATGGCCCCAGGTAACTTAATGTGATTGATTTTTCAGGTCTGGGTCTCATGAATGCAGACAGTAGCAGCCACTGGCAATGCTAGTTAAGTAAACTTACGACACACTCTAGGGGACCTCCAGTCTACAGCAACTCCATGCTGGCAGCACTGATGGGCATATGCTGATACACTTGTACAGAAACACTCACAGTCACCTCCTTGGTTACAGCCACATGTATCTGTCAAGCAGTTTGAGTAAAACCAGGTGACGTCAATCTAGAAATACAAAGATCACTTATCAAAAATATTCATATAGACACTGGCAACAATCACCTCAATCCAAAGCTATGACTCTTTCAAAATTTAATATATAAAACTTCGAAGTATTAAAGATTTTAATTTAAATGTTTCCTGAAGCACCAGAAAAACAGTTTATTAGAACACATCATAAAACCTTGTACAGTACTTAGTAACAAAAGTCAATGACTCATTAAGAACATGAACACTAAGATGATGTGAGCTTGTGTTTTGTATGGTTTTGTAATATTTAAACCATAATGAACTACAAAGAAGCTTATGAAATAAGAGAAACTCTCTCTAAACCAATGACAAATCAGTAAATCTCAGAAGTGTTAAGAAAGTTAGCTATACATAAAATGTAAGAAATAATAAAGTAGCTGGAAAAGTCTTCTTTTCATGTGAGTGGTTCATTCTCTTCATATTATTAGCCAATTTCACAGGCAAATTTGTGATTTTTCCTTCAGATTATTTTGAAGCCTTGTCTTAAGTGACAAAATTTCAAAGAAAACTATCAATGCTAATTTCCTTATTGAATTGTTACACATTCTACACAGATTTACACTTGAGTAATATACACTTACGAGGAACTTAGCTGCTAACTACCTTATACAGTAGACTAAACTGATGTTACATTAATACAACTTTAACATCAGCTTCCATTTACTTCCAAAATAATATACAAAGTAACCCTGCAAGATTCCCAGTTGTCTTTCACATGAAATCTCCTTTCTCCCTAGGAACCATTCTGACACTTGCACTCTTTAAGCCATGCACACAGTCTCAATACCTGAACATCTTGGGATATGTCATTTTCCATACAAAACCTAGCTCTGGAAATCAGTCCCCCCTCATACTCCAGCTGAACCTGAGCCTGTTGACTGTCAGAACATGTTGTATGGCTCATTTATTTCCTTAGGTGGTTGCCTGAGTGAGGAGATATATGCATTTTTTTTCCAGGAATTACTTCTTCCCATCTGATACTGCCTAGAAGAAACTGTCAATTTGCCTGAAAAATGTGCATGCTATGTAATATATTTGAGCAAAATAAAACAAGTGGTTATGTCTATGAAAATAGTGCTTGGTATGAAAAATAAGATAACACAAATTGGGTATAATTTTGTCTGCATTAATTACAAAGGGGACTAATAGGACTATCCATTTTGTAGAATGCTAAATTGGTGCCAAAGTGGCTTACCGTCTAGGTCAGCTAAGTGCAGATAGTTCTTACAGGTCCAGTTAAACATTCACATTTTAGAATCAGAACAGCTATGGGTTAGCCTTTCTTTGTGTTCTCTTTTGCTACAGTAGTCAAAATTATTATGTTACGGAAGACAAGATGAAGATTTAAAGTGATGCGAGTTGAAGAGTCGAGTTTCTCTCTAGTGCTATGTCCACTTTCACATCTTTCTGTACGTGACCACAACTCACCACTGGATGGCAAGCTTCAAATGCTTCACTTAACAGTATTCCACATTCCTTCTTGGCAAATGGCTCTCTAAGGGGATTCAAACTGCATGGATTTCGAATGTCAGAGCTGCCAACACACTTAACCAGAAAGCAAAATCAAGGTGAGAAACTTGTTTCATAACCGCTTTGGGTTTGAACTCAGAAAGCATAGTTTTGTTTTGTTTTATAAAAAAAGAGATGTAAAACACAAACCAAATGCATCACTTATGAAACTAAAGCCAGACTAAGATATGGAATTAAAAGGGGATGCTAATCTGCAGAAAAGGAAAAGTACACAATCTGAAGAAGTGTTTCATTTGCCCAAGAGCAGCAGAAAAACACATACATACATATAGGTCTAAACAGAGCCGCCATGCAGTCCCAGTCTGCAGTCCTTGCAACTGAGTAGTCTAGCTTACATAAATAACAAAGTTCCCTCAGACAATCTACATTAGAAGTGTCAGAAATCAGATCTTTTTACTCTAACTACTAGAAATGAACATTTCTATGAACACCACTAGACACATGATGTTAAAAAAGTTCAATTTTTAACTTTACAGCATACGGAAAGAGTATTTTTTCTTCCCATTGCTATGGTTTCACAGTTAAATATTCCTCAGCTATGAAAGATCAGCTAAACTGACAACACAGTCTTAAAGTGAACCCAGAATTCTTCCATTACATAAAAAAATAGCTACTTTACTGTTTAAACAATATGTTCAAAAACACTTGTAGATTCAGAATATTGTACAGCATTTTTCTCTACACTATAGCGCTGTGTAGACATAAAGATGATTATTTTCTTCTCCTTAATGGATTATGATATCTGTAAGAACCACTGATACTGCCATTTGCATTGCTGCCTGACTGATACTTCTAGGAACGAATTTCTGATTTCATTCTAGATAAATTATATGATGTAACAGCAAAAAAATCTACTAGTAAACACATTCTTTTTACTATGTACCTCTACAGCTGTCCAGCTGTTTCCAAACTCTTGTGAGTTTGTTAATTCAAAATTATCTGGAGTCCTCAATTCATTTACCGTCTTCAAATCAAAATTTCCACATAATCCAGCCAATTTGCCCTGGGAAAAAAGATACATATATGAAAACGTATTTCTACATGATACAAAACACTTCCAGCCACGACTGTTTTCAAAACTTGCTTCTTAAGTTCCTGTCTTTGGTTGCTTAATTATAAATTTGTCAGGATTTGATACTTTTCAGGCAAATTTCAGCCAAAACAGTTCAGCTCTTTGTGATAATAAAGCTATGGAAAATATTTTATTTTGACATCAATATTATTCCCTTTCAACTAAGTACCTCCAAGCCTTTCAGAAAGGAGCTGATCTTTTGTTCAGAGAAGTGACCTGTTTGCTAGCTGTGTGTTATTTTATGCTTCAGCAAAATAATACCTGCTCCAGTCACATAAGGAATGAGTGCTGAAGGAGGATGTTGCCTCAAAGATATTTGTTTCTGTTGTTACAGAAGTTAGACTGTAAATAGTGACTGGAAAAAAAAAGGAAGCAAGATTTAATATTTAATTGACAAGGTAGTTGAATGCTTCTCTCGACTCTGCCACTGAGTTCCCACATGATTTCTGACACATTGTCTATTCTCTGTATAATGGTAACATGTCTTACTTAGTAAGACTTACATAAATACCTCAAATAAATTGCAATAAGAGTGTTGACTTCCACTTACCTGCCACTGATGACCCATCTCTACATGAACTGTTGTTCTCTGATCCCAAAGAATGGTGATGTGCTCATCAGGAAAATGAACAACAGTGAAAAATCCAGCTTTCCATAACTGTATTTTTTGTAGTTCATCTATGTAACTAGATAAGCTCTGTTCAAAATAAAACAAGGCAGCTTATAATGTAAGTAATGTCTTCACAAAATGTTCACTTGACAGGAAATGAAACACCTAAATAAAATGAATGACGGTTCAACCCAAAGCATTCTATGATTCTATGATTCTCAGACAGAAGTCAAAAAATGGACAGAAGGCCACACGGGGATAAACGCTTAAACAAAAGTGGTCTGGATTTTGATTGTGAACTATGTTGTATTTTTATGATTTTCCTATTTTAAAAGCTGATTTGATATCAAATTTACAGGATGGGTAACGGCAACTGGAATGAAGATTACAATGTTAATGGTTCATCTGCAAGGCAAAAAATAATTAGTCTTAAGGATCCTGGTTATGATTTTCACTTAGTTATATACCACCACATTCAGAAGGTCTTAGCCACATGCTTTTTTTGAATACAGATAGGTACAAAGATGCATGGAGCATCTTCTTGAAATAAGGAATTGTCTAAATATGTCCAGAGATTGCTATCTTATTTACATAAAGCATTCTTCTCTCCATCCAATAACAATCAGATTCCAAATTATTTGTAGCATGGACTAAGATGTCTGGCTTAATTACACAATACCTCATACAAAGAGAAACAACTTCCTTTGCATAGTCAGTCTATGAACTGTAAATAGTACTATTTATACTAAAATTACTAAATAGACTAAATATTTACAGCAATAGTTTGCAGTTTGCCCAAAACAAAAATGAAATTAAGGTTGTGGAGGATATACCAGGGAGGAGATACCAGGGACTGCAATTTACTTTTTACAGCTGTATAGGAATATTCCTCCTATACATTCTAGACCAGACTAAACTCTTAGTTCTAGTGGAATTAATAGCAAAACCCCCACTGACTTAAAAATATCTGTTTTCTTCCTAAGATACTAAACAGGAATTAAACCTAAACAAAAGAATTATGATCATCTCATCTAACACTTTAGTGAAATACAGACCAGATTTTGTTTAAAGTTTCCACTGACCAATCCAGATGTGATCAGCATTCATGGTAAAGATATTTACGCCTCTGCCACTTAAGTGGCACAGTAAGTTTTTGCTAATGAAAGAAAAAACACACAGAGATGTACATATGCTACCTTTTGGTCAGTGTTAAAGCCTGAAACTTACTGGATTTCCAGTTTCATCATCAAATATTAAAAAAGATTTTCCAACATTAATGAAAAGGTTTTTTCTGCAAATTATTCCAGTATTAAAGCAGTTAATATTCTCTATAATGACAGAAAAACTGGTTGACGAAGTACCCTGAAGGAAAAAAAAAAGAAATGGACACTTTTAATATACTAATATAAATATGCATATTGTTACATAGTTCAATTAGCAGAAACCTCAGTGTATAATTATGTTATGCATGATTCAAAGTCTAAGCAACATCAAAAAAACAGTATGTAGGGCTCAATAAAATGTACAGATAGGAAATAAGTAGAAGTAGAGTTTTTAACAGGTAGTTTTTTAAATCCAGTTTTACAGAGGCTTTACAAAAAAGTCTCACCTTAACTAGGTAAACCTTACAAGTTCCAACAAAGTCATATGTTAGTCCATCAAATGTTCTGTAATGCCGATCCCCATATGTAGTACACATTGATGGGCAAGGATGGAAGGTGCATTGAAATGATCCATGCTGGCAAATGCTGAAAAATGTATACCAATAATGGTAATATCAACTGTAACCACGGACAAATGATTACTATTGCACTGAGAAGCAAAAAAAACAAAAGCCAGGCAAGTATGATGACTGCAGACAGAAGCATTTTGAAATGTGAACTAGAAGCAGCATACATAAAATCAATTCTCTGGAAAAGAAGTACATACTGAACTCAAACACTATGTGTTTCTTCCTGTTAGAATTTATAGGTTCCAGAATATATAGGCACTGAAAAGGGCATTCCTTTTGTTGAAACAAGAAAACAAAAAATGCCACTTGAAGTAATACAATTTATTCTCAGGTAACTCACATCAATAACGTGCCACAAGGATAAAGCTTTCTTTTCCAGCTTCTCACAGAACATTTGTTTCTATATGAGCTGAATCTTAGAATCAACAAGCAATGTGTCCTGTTACTACCGTGTCTTTATTCACTCTCTGCTTGAATGAGAATTTCACAGAATTGCAAAGGAAAAATTTCAGTAGCACTATTTTGGTGCTTAGATTCCTTAAAAGAACTGAGTTTTGGGTTGCTGTTTGGAATTTTTTTTTTTTTCAGATGCTTAGGTATTACCATCCTCAAACCCTGCCTAACAGTTTAGGGGCTCCCAGAACAGTTCAAGTTCTGTCTATGGACACCCTAAGCATCAAAATGCTTTCATCACACATACACTAAGTGACTGTTCAGACCTTTCTGAACTACTTTTGCTTTGTAACTGCCTAATAGCAAGGCTTTACAGCACCAGATACTATGTCTCTTTCTGCATCACCCTCTTACAATCTAAGTAACGTTTTCAGAAATGATGTAAGATTTATAAATAATGGAGAGAATTTAATTTCCTGTACCCACAAGACATTTTTAAAATGTTATTTTTTATGTTTCTAAATCACCTGGACACTTAAAAACTTCCCTCAACAACGACAGCAGAGTTGTTGCCTTGGTATAGCTTTACTACAAGTGTATTTTGTAAATATAGGTTAAACTAAACATAGCATGTGATACAATTTTGGCACATATCTAACTTTATTTTCAAAAATATTGAATTTTCAATTTCCTGATTGAATGAATGCTTCACATTTTACAATTCAAGTACTAATCTGACTTATGGAAGTATTTGATAAATCACTAATGTTTGGTATCTCATATACTGAAGCATCAAGCAGTACGAAGTTTTTTGTCAGTGTAACTTCTCCTTTTCTGTTCATATTGCTATCGTATATGACAGGGTCAGAACACCACCGTTTTCAAAAGATCAGTGATTATCTAGGAAAGTCTAGGCAGCTCCAGTTACTACTAGCATCATGTTTCCTTCCGTTCCCTTACCATGTAACTTACACCAACCTGGAGTAATTTTCTAGATTTTCCAAGACTCTGCTTACCCCGTCACGGATTTGGCCCACTGTTTGTGTTTTTTATAACTACATATACACTAAATATGTAAATACACTAAGCACATGGCTAAAATAAGTTGAAAGTACAACACCTGAAAAGTATTTGCTGTACCAAAGCACAAGTAGATAGCAGTAGGACTCACCCAGCTACCTCTAGTTACTTCAAAGCGGTACGCAAGGCAGGAACTTAAGCCAGTGGAAAGAGAGGCAAATAGAAGAAATTTTATTTGGACTGAAAGAATAAGTGCTGCTTCTCGTGCTCTCTGTGAGACATTTTGTTTTAGTTTTACTCTTGGCCTGTTCAAATCTTCCTCCACATGCTGATTGGTTAAGGGCTCATACAGAAACATTTTTTAACATGTAAAGAGTAGGGAGCTCCTTTGCATACTTTCTTTTTCAGGAATCTTAACACATTTACAGTCAGAAGGAAGGGCTTAAGAGGTACACAACATCTTCAAAGTCCTCTGCACCAGTCTTGTTTCATACTAAGTAAACTAACATTTATTATCAGAATCTAGAGAGTCCTAGTTTGAAAAGCAGAGCTACTAGCATCTTCCAAACTTTGACTAGCTTTTTAAAAAAAGTATTTCCAAGAAGTATTTGTTTAAGAACACAGAAAGCCCAATTCAGCAGCCCACAGAGACTAGCCAGCATTTGCTCAGTGGTCTCAATGTATGACAGCAAACCAGCATAGCTAACTGCACCACCCATCTTACCTTGCGCAGCACAGCACCAAAATGCTGCTCTGATACCTTCAGTTAGTGTAATAACCTTTTGTGTTTAATCTTGCCAGCACGTGTAAAGAATATCAGGCAGTTGCACTGAAAACCAAACGGGAAAGCTAGAACCGCAGTTCAGCCAGACCCCAGAGCTTGGGTTCAAAGTTCCTGACACTCCACTGGTAGTTTTGCCAATTTAAGAAATTATTTTATTTGCCATTTTACTGTCCAATAGACAAGTCAGATTAGTAGTTATGTTGCTAATACTACATCAGATATGAATAAGATGATATTGAGTATCAACACACACTATTTCTGTGCACTAAATAACACTAAAGTCATCATAACTGCTATGAGTGCCTAAGTGGGTTTGTTTGCACGGGAGTATTCTCATGCTTTGCACGAGCAAAAATGCACATTTCCCTTGACATACCAACTACAGCCCTGCATACATACAGAGCAGTCTCAAAGACTTTCTACACTTGCTATCAAGCAGAGCGTGTTGCAGACTTCCCATCTGTCAGTGGACAACTGATTGCCAAAAAGCCATTATCACTTAATCTGTCTTTGCTTCTAGATGTGGAAGACTAGAAAAGCCATGAGAACCTTAAGGATTTGGAGATGAATTGATGGGCCTGGCCTCAGAAAAAAGAGAGAAGGGTAAATATCCAGTGTCTTTCTGCCTGCACTGCTGCTGCCTTTGGTGAAGTCTCATACAGATTAAATGGGATATAATAGTTCTTTCTTATGAAAGCAATCCCACAGCAGGTCCAATTGGAGAGGCCTTTGGAAGTAAGGGGGTGAACAACCCGGGTCGCTTTACCTGCCTGCCCAGTGGAGATGGCTTGTAAGTCGCTTCACCAGTCGACCAAAGGGCTACAAATATCTTCTAGAGCAGATACTGAGGACCTGACGAGAGGCAGAGGTAGGCAGTCAGCGCAAGGCTGGAGGGGGCAACGACATCCAGACAAGGCACTGATTAGGTGACTGGACAAGCCTTCACCGTACCAGGCTATACTGAGCTGTGCAGGCCAGGAGCAGTAGTTTACCAGGTAATGCCAGTTAAATGTTCCTGGTAAGCTAAAAGAAGGGGACAAAAGGAAGGAACTGCTCTGCTGAGAAGCTGGAAGCTATATACCACTACCATAGTATCTCAGTGCTTGACAGTACAACTGATTTTTCTGAGGCTCTGGTAAGACAAATAGTGCTGCTTAGTGCCAGCTTGCAACATTCAACAGTGGTCAGAGAAGAAAACAGGCAGGGACCATCAGGAAACAAGTTTGTTTCAGGATCATGCAGATATGGTATATTTTCACATCTTTACTCTGATGAAGCTTATTGAAATGGTAGCGTACCACATTCTACTGAGAGTGCTCAAGGAAACTGCACAGATTAACGTAGCTATAGGGTATGCGCTGCATTTACAACACTGCATAGTAAAAGGAATAGGTTTCTGCATGTATTTGAGCGATCCTATCAACGCTTGTCTATTGGAACACTTCCTTTAAAAGTCAATTGATTCATGAGTTATCCACAGGCAGAAAATTAGCAACTAATTTATCTGTTACTATGCTCAGTACATGATGTTGCTCAGTACTCTCCTTAATTTATCATTGTAGCATGCATATACTTATACCTACAGGGTTATGTTTTGGGTCTTTGGACTGCTCAGTTCAATGCTAAATGTGAAAATGAATAAGTAAAAAGCTTCAACAAGAGTTACTCGGGTGTAACATTTGAAGGATTTTACCTGTACTTTAGGAACACTAGCCAAGGAAAAACACTTTAGATTACCTTGATAATCAAAACAATGATTTTTCTAAATCAAGCTTTTTTTTCCCCTTAAAATTCCTAAAGACCTGTTATTTTGTTAGGTACAAGTTCCTTGAAACAACAAATCCTAAAAAAATGTCGGTATAATAGCTCTTTGAACAAATGTAAATACAAAATTAGGGTGGATGATTTACCAGAATCTGGTGGGAAATTTATGACTACAGAACATGAAGGAATAATCAACCAAAAAATAAACAACTAAAATGAAATAATCACCTAAATAGATCTCTGCTTACCATGTATGACAAGAAGAAATTACTTTGTCACCTGGAAAGTATTCCTTTCCTTTCCATGAACATGGACATTCATCTGCTTCCAAGCACACATCCCCATGTTTAATAAGACTATCAAAAAAAGAACAAAAAATATACATTCAGCAGAAGTACACCTGGTATCTAAATAAAAAATATTTTCCTAAACTTTTAAATTATTAGCATTATTATTATTATTGAAAAACAAATAATATTTAAAATCTTCTGAAATTGAAAAGGGACAATTTTATTAATAATTATATGTAAGCAATTTGATAATGTCCTTTCACAGGTACCCAAATATTTTATCTTTAGTAAGTGCTAGCACTTTGGGCACTAGCCCTGTGAAAACTTACTCATTAACATACAAATTTTAAGGTCAGGGAAACTAAGATTTTCCACCTCCTCACCAGATTTCTTGTAACTCAGCCAGTTAACTTTCAGTAGCTTATTTATTCTAAGAATTTTTAAATGAGGATTTCTTCTTGTTCTCCTCTTCACCTGATTTAAAGAGCTTTCATTTGCTGCAGTTTTCCTATAGCTGTAGTTACACCTCTTGCTCTATGAATAATTTAATCAATATCAAAAAAGTTACTCTGCATAAAATTGAGTATATATTTCTGTACAACCAGCACCTTCATGCAACCAATCACAAATATACTTAACTTTATTAGCAGAAATATCCTCACAGACCTCAAAGATTTTCGTGATAACACAGATAACCATATGCATAGCTATTTATAGTTCAAGACTAATGCTATAAAATCTATGCTTATAATCATAACTCCTAGAGCAAATTTAAAAAGCTGTGAAAAAGATTCCATTAGCAGAGAAAGAATAGAGGAATTCTTGCACTGGCAAGACAGAATAAAGCAACTAGTCTAAATTTTAAAGTAAAATATTTGTGTTTTTTAATAATATCCAGAAAAACTAGAATATGAGAGTTAAGCTAAAGAGAGATCTCAAGCAGATTCTACAAATAAATCTCAGGAAATATACCAGCAATATTGAATGATTTTATTTAAAAAGCTATCTTTTCACTGAGGCCCAGAAAGTTGTATTTCTTCCAAACGCACATTCATTTTAAAAAAATATTGTAATGCTACTAGATAGGCAAACAGATACCGGTATAGGACCTAAAGGTCCAGTTACAGATAGAACAACACCTTCGATGACAAATCAATCTGCCAAATGAAAATTGTGAAATGTAAACTCTTCATAAGCTACAGCAGTGTATTTCACTCTAACTGCTGTAGCTCCAACTTGTTTTGGGTTCTGTATCTGTTCCTATACAGGATTCTGTTCAATAAAACATAAGAAGCTAGAGCAACTACTATGCTAGTTACATAGTAAAAGGATTTCTTACAGGCACCATACAATCTACAATTATCCTTACTTCTAAATACTAATTTTGGAAATCTATTTGTATTGTGAAAGAAACAGTCTCTTAAAACGGTACTGTGGGGCTGATAATCTTTTTTCTTTTTCAAGGTAAGTTTGTTTAGAATTCCAGTACCTCTCTGTAGTCATATAAATTTTATACAGGTTTTCTTGTGTTCCTAACAGTTTTCTGAAGAAAACAGATTTAGCATTTCTGATGTTTAGCACTCTAATTTGGGCAAGAAACTGCACCATGGACAAGAGGTCATAGGTGCAAGGCAAATCCATGACAAACAGGGTGATGACACTGTTTTGTTTCCCTGGTATCCAAAAGGAAAGATTTCATCATTGCATTTATCATGGAATATTTTATTTATTCATATTAATGAAGTGGTATTCTGTGTGCTATGACTTAAACTCTTCTTCGGTGTGTTATTTATCAGATGGAAATTTACAATTCTCTAGCTCTTCTTAATGGGAATGTGATGACGTCATAAAACCCCCTCCCTCATTAAACTGCAAAACTGTAATTTTCCCCCAGGATATGTGAAGTGTTCTTTGTAACCCATGCTTATTTCAAGTATTGTGTTGCTTGAAGACAACCAACTGTGAGACTGAAATTCCCACTGGTTTAAAGCTGCTCAGAACTGAACAGGGCACATTCAGACACAAAGAGCATCACACTAACAAGGTAACACTAAATACAGTTTTTTCCTTGTGTTATTACCCTGGCTAAAACAAGTGATAACAGCTTTCTCTCTTGTAAAGCCAAGCAAGTGGATAGATTTCAATGATCTAAGAATTCACCACAAATACCCTACAGAGAGGCCTTGTACAGCTCCCCTTTGAAGTATCACACATTTTTCTTTACACCTATATTTAGCGTCTAACCTACAATGAACTGCAAAGATACAATGAGAGCTATCACACTTCACCATGCTGAAGATTCAGTTTCATTACTATCTCATTTTTGTCTGTAGCTTTGTTCATTCACATACACACAAGCATGTAAATAGTCTTGATAAAGGCATCATTAGAAGCAACGTGTCTCCTGTGAGTCAACAAACCCTTCTTTGCTTCTGCAAAGCCCACAAATCTGGACCAGAACACTAAAATATCACAGCCTCCACCAGAGCAGTTTTCAACAGGTTGTGTATTGCATGGCTCTTTCTCCTCCCTTGGGCAGCCACCTACCACCAACCAATTTGATAACATTACTGTAACACCTAATGGCTTCATTATAGTTCACTCACTGTCTAGACAGGAAGCTACTATACTCCTGCCGAGTGTTTTCTTACTTGTTTGGGGAGCTTTTTACAGTCTATCTCTTCTTTGCCCCACCCACCCCACCCCCCCAGTTTATTATAAAGAAATATGAAGCAAATTTGCCAAGCACCAGACATTTTGCAGAATGCTTGAAGGGTTTTTAGTATCCTTGTGGTATCCTTCTGTGTAACAACTGATTTTGACACTACAGCTGAGGTAGACTCAGACCCCTGCACTTCTACAGTTTCACCCTGTATAGGGAAACCCCACTGCATTCAGCTCTACTATCAGCATCCTACTGGTGCTAAGCAGAGTGGGTCCTAAAAAAGAAAATTCACAGAAATGGTAGTAGCAGCTTAAAGACCAAAGGCAGGTGAGAATAAGAAAAACAAGAGCGAGAAATAGAATAACAGGGATTAATCTAGATTCCCATATTCTACAGCCTTGTCCACAGAGGCCTCTGAAAATTTGGCTCATCCATTGCCTGTGCCTCCTCTGAGGTCTCCTTGAGTAAAAAGAAGCTCCTGCCTCCACACACCTTCTACTGATTAGTGTGGACAGAAGAGGGCAAAATTATCTCACAAGTATAATACTCATAGCTGCATAAAACCTGGGTACAGGTTTTGTGGCAACATCAGAGCAAAGCAAGAGAGGGACTGTGCCTTGAAGTCTCTCATTTTAAGCAGAAAAATACTATGGGAGTTAAGCAAAGTGACTGGAAGAACAAGGGTAAGAACACTTTTATTAGCACTTTTTTTTTCCCATAGATGTTTTCTTTTTTAGTTTGTGTTATAGGGAAGGAACACAAGGAGGCAGCAGGGACTGAAGAACATCACAAAAAAAAGAGGGTTCGAAGCAGGGGCCTCTCCCCACCCTGCTCACAGACCCATCAGGGCTATAAGGTAGGAGTCATCTCAGAGGACACATGTAGCTCTCACAGCTGCATAAAGTGGTACACACTGCCTTGTCAGCAAGTAGCACATATCCCAAGGCAAGACTGAGGGAAAGGAAGGCTGAGGTTTATACTTTGTCCCAGCCTATTTCACAAATAATAAGTGCCTGGACCATCACTGTATTGCTGTGATTTTGATACCTTTCTGTGTCAGCTCAGCTGTACCTCATATCTACCAATGCTACTTCAGGGCTATGACTCAATTTTTCCAAAGTTCAACTATTTTTAATTAAGCACACTGGATTAAAACCTTTCTCTACAGGCTCTGAAATAGCACCATTTTCTTCAAGAATACTGTGGGTGCAATTCAGTGCTAAAAATCATGTAAGGCAGGACTCCATGGGAAAGTAAGATACTAAAAAAATTGCCATCTGTGATGAAAAGATTAGTACACTTTGGGGGGGATGAACATGGGGTTTTTTATTAATTAAGCTTTTGGGGAATGAATGTGTATTTGCAGACAGATGTCACAGTACATTCCTGGTCTCCAAATTCTTAATCTGTAGTAAAAGATGATAACTTACGTGCCAGACAACTAACAGTTTTATAGCCGAAGCAGTTTTCAACATGGAAGATGATTCAAGCAGAGCTGGTGGCTCAGTGGACTTACTCATCATTGCCAGTAACTAATATCACCAGGTTTTTTTTGTTTGTTTTTTGTTTGTTTTTTTTTTACAAAGTACCTGCTTGAATTTTAGCAGATTAAAAATGAAGCAAAAGAAAAAAAAAAAAAAAGATGGATTGACTGATTCAAGATCCTCAGCTCCTCTCAATGAAACGCCCAAGAAGTTAAACACTGCATAGCTACACTAATGGTATTTTAGTATGCATTTTTTCTAATTTAAGGAACAAGTTTAAATAGATATTCTTTTTATTACAAAAATGCATTTTCAGAAATTAACTCCAAATGTAACTGAGGTCTTCCTTTCAAACCAAATGACAGCAAGTTCAATGATTCTGTTTTTCTACTTGGTTTTAAGAAGGTGGTAATATGAAAAGGTGCTCAAGAATCTGAGTGATACTGTTGAAGTTTTACTATGAACTGAGTACAGGAAAAAAAAAAAAAAAGAGATATGTTTGCAGCTCGTGTAAACTAGAAAGTAGAAGACCAAGAGGGTTTTGGAAGTATTGCAAGAGGAAACAAGGAGCACTGAAATATATCAAAGTGAGTAGCAAGTCTGCAGAGCAGAAGAGGATGGAAAAGAACTGTGTTGTCTTGTTATGGCACTGCAATGGAGGTAATTTATTCTTTGGAAATTAACTCCAATCCAAGACCTTTAGCATACTGTCATTCTATAACCATCAGAAACAGAAATCGGCACAAAACCCAGTGTGGACAAATACCAGTTCCTGAAGCACCCAAATAGAGGAATGTTGATGCAGCCTCTGTAAGAGAACCATATTTTCCTAAGGAAACAGTAGAATGCATAGCCATGATGGTATCCCCATGGGGGATAATCCTTATTTACCTGGAACACATTAAATCTTCCTGATA